TAACATTTTGTTTGGGCGTGCTTCTCCCATTCTAGCCGAGTTTAAATAACACAAATTTGACGAACTTTTAGTTCAACGTGACCTGGCGGTGACGTATGAAATCATACCCACGTCTCCTCGCTCACCGGTATCTCTGAAAAAGCGTGTGCTGCACCCCGGTGCAGTATCAGCCCATGGGACCACCGACAGCCTTTCAGAATTGCCGAGGGTGCGCACAGAGATCGCCCGCCCGAGCTCTGCACTCCGGGCTGCACTAACATGGAACAGGTTTCCTGCGGTGGTGCGGGAATCGGCGGGGCCGAGCACCTGTACCCGGCGAGATCGGTGGCCACTCCAATATGCTGACGTGTGGCAGTGTACTATGTGCTATAGTGTTGTATTGTCAAGATCCTTGCGTGCGTGCGTGCGTGCGTGCGTGTGTGTGTGTGTGTGTGTGTGCGTGTGTGTGTGTGTGTGTGTGTGTGTGTGTGTGTGTGTGTGTGTGTGTGTGTGTGTGTGTGTGTGTGTGTGTGTGTGTGTGTGTGTGTGTGTGTGTGTGTGTGTGTGTGTGTGTGTGTGTGTGTGTGTGTGTGTGTGTGTGTGTGTGTGTGTGTGTGTGTGTGTGTGTGTGTGTGTGTGTGTGTGTGTGTGTGTGTGTGTGTGTGTGTGTGTGTGTGTGTGTGTGTGTGTGTGTGTGTGTGTGTGTGTGTGTGTGTGTGTGTGTGTGTGTGTGTGAGAGCGCATCTGTTTAACTTTACCCAAGGTCGGAATAGCCACATTGGGTAGTTTACAAGCATACGTCATTCATTGATGATTTGTTTGACGGTAGGAAACTGCGGGCATACAATTCACCAGTTGTCGAGAATCGCCGGCTTGCGGGTCGGAACTAGGTCCACAAATCGGTAACGCGGCCAGCGGGACGCCATCACTACATTGCCACTCGGAAAAGAGCAAACCAATGCAATGAAGAAGCACGAATCAATGCGCCCGGTTGCGCATGTGCACGTACAAACAAAAGGTTCGAAGATTTTGGAACTTTTTTCCAAATTCGTCTCGAATCTCGGCAACCCAAACAGACAACTACGTCAAACCTACTGGCTGCACCATGCAGGCACATGTACCGTCGACAAACCCGGTCGTCACCATCAGCCAGCACCGCCAGAGTGATTCCGCCCAAACCGAGCATACCGGACAGGTGAAGTTGACACAGGCGTAAAGCCCGACTCAAGGTCACTATTGCAACGCAAAACAACTGCGCTTTTTAAAATACTTTGATCGTGATCGCCCCAAAACTCCGTCACTGCGAAATGTCCCGTTTTTTGCCGTTCGACAATTCCTGATGATGTCATGCCATTGCCTTTGAACTCATATGCTTTGTTTTCTCAGTGACTTCCACCCTTCTCCGCGACGCGTGGATCGCCACGGACATCAGGCGACACAGGCATAGGCCACTGTCATTGCAGTGTCCAGAGCGTCATGAAGCCAGCTCCAGGAGGGGTCGGATTGTTGTCATGACTTTCAATGGAGAGCTCTTAGTAATCGAATTGCACTGTAGGAACAAGGGTGGGGGGGGGGGGGGCATGGGAGCCATGCCCTCCCCACTTTTCAATGTGAGGGACAGGCAGCAGTAGTAACTGCCCCCCCCCCCCCCACACACACTTTTTGGATTAAGATTGCAGTTGGCTTAATTTTTCACTACATGAAACGTACACGCCGGTTTACCTAGTTCACCAGCCATCTCCCTCAAAATGCGTCATTTTTTTTCGTTTGCTCATTGGCCATCGCTTAATGTTACAGCCGCAAGGCCGACGCCGCACGGCCTGGAGACTGTAACGCCGGACGTGGAGGCTGTTGTTGCTATGACTTGCGAGCGCGTATGTTCAAAACCATTTTCCATAGTTTTTTATCAGTAATAAATTCCGACCGAATTTTACACAGTTAAGATGAACCTGGATCAGCCACGTTGATACAAATTTGAGCCCCCATTCCACCTACAATCTACGGTCAGGGATTCCTCTATATCTATGAAGAACACAGAAAAACATGTAACTGTACTGTATGTGACAATTATTGGGTCACCCGCGGCGGTCGGGGATGTTGTTGCGTCAATGTGGGTTCCTATGCCTATCCGGGGCAAACTGCGCGGGTCAAAAGGCCTCCCGTGTCAGGGACGGGAACGATGTGATATGACATATATTTCTAACGGCCTCCGGATCGACCAGGAGAGCCCTCCCCGCGTCGCCAGAACGACAGCCAGAAGACACTTCGCGATGGGATGTAATGGCTCTTCAGCCCTTGACCGAAAATGTTAATGTACCCCTGGTGTTTTACTCAAGGGCCCCTTACCCGGAAGGGAATAAGGGGCCTCATTGTTGAGTAGGGTGGGAGTCTCAATATTGTTGAAAAGGGTGGGTCGAAATGGGCTTAGAGAACAAGGCCATCCCATGTTTGCTTGAGAACATTCATTTTTCAAATGGATAAGTGAAACAAATTACATCAAAAGGTTTGGACATGCCCGCCCACAACCTCGAGAGCAAGGACAACGATGGCCTGGGTTGCAGCTTCCATGAAACCGAACAGTTTCGGCCACTGCAAGTGCCACCAGACGGCGAGCGCCGTGTTTATCTGTCTTCTAGATAGATAAATAGTTGCAGCAAAAAAAAGCACGACAAATAGAGATTTTACCTTTGCTCTTCAAATTCCACAACTAGATTCCAACACCACTTCGCAATGCTTCAAGGGCCAATCCGTTCTTATCATCAGTCTAAAAATTGCACACGTGAAATGTGCACTCAGACCGCCTTCTAAGTATAATACTTGATGCCATGAAGCGTTCAAGCATATTTCTTTCAGAACCGTCATCATTTCGTCCACCTGTTAGTCACAGCCCATTATTAACTGCTAGGCCGACGCCACGCGGCCTTTGAAGACTGCAACGCCTGGGGTCGAGGTTTTTTGCTCTAAGATTTTCGAATGCCCATGCTCAAAGCACGTCACGTAACTTGCTTCATTAGTCGATTGAAGTGTTTAAAGATAATAATTTCAGAAGGGTCACCAGTTTCGTCCACCGGTGGGCCACGACTAAAAACTACCCACAGGGTTAACGCTCCAGGGACTATGGAGACTGCAACGCCTACCGTCGAGGTTTCTGTTGCTAAGGTTTGCAAGGGCGCACGTCAAAAACGACGTTACATAGACTGTAACGTGGTTTTTCACACAAATTGCAACAACTTACCTAAATTGTAATAAATCACTAATCGATTCTGACCGAGTGGTGAACATTTCCAGACAAACATGGCTTGTCGATGTCAATGCGCATTGCTAACCACTCGATCTGCAGTCAAATTTTCATCTTCAAGTTTGGATAAAAAATATTGATCTACAAATTACCTTCACAGTGTCCTTAATGTCTGTAGAACCCAGATAAATTTTTGACGAAGCTCATGAATTTTATTGGTTTAGAAAGAGTTCACTAAACCATTGTAAATCAAGGGCCCTGGTGATTTATTCAATGCGGTCGTTCAACGCGGTCGCTCTCAATTTGGGCAGTCTATTGACTTCAAAATACGAATGGAAACGATCTCACGGTAGCTCCCGGTTTCTGTTCTGGTTTACAAGGTAAACGTAACAATAAAACGAGGAAAACCGTGTCCCTTATTAACAAGTAAGCCATATCCGGAGATATTGAGGTGTCACCATGAGAGGGGCTTTTGCCAGCCCCGTGTTTCACTTGGCATGGCTCTGGCTACGCCCCTACCTACACACAAAAGCAGGTCAAGTCGTCTACGTCGAATGATGGGCAATAAAATGGCCTTTGTGTCAATTCACACACAAGGCAGGCAGCTTCCCGGAGGTTCTTTTTCTGCGATGGTGTGGTGTAAGGGGAGATAATTCGGAAAATAGATACTATTGCAGGTGTCCAGCATACGCTTCACACACCAGTTAGTAGTAATACTGATCCAGAAATGTGCAACAAATCAGCCATACGATCAGTTCGCAGTCAGCCATGCGGCAGACAGCCGGGCCAGGGCAATGGCCGTCGACGGCGGACGGGAGCAGGGCCCAGATAAGGAGCATATGACAGACGGGGCTTCATTACGTGCCTTGGTTCTTAAAAGGGAAATTCCATATTCATAGCCTTTGTCACATTGTTGTTGGCAGTTTCAAGCTCCGAATTTGTTTCCGCCTAACATCCTGCGACGAGTGTAATCTCTTGAAAAGCAGCCAGCGAAGTGAAGGCGCATGTCAAATCTGGGCACTGTGGGCCATCGATCCACTTTCAAACTTCTCACCAGCCTATGTTCAGGCCGTATTTTGACATCTACCCTGAGAAGGCAGATGCCTCCTAAATGACCAGAAATGCCTACCTGCTCGCGGAATTTCGGCTCCCGAAGAAAGATAATAATGGGCGAATAATATAGGAAAGCTGGATAGCTCTATTTTCCAAATAACTTAGATGAGGTGAATAGGCCAGATTGTGCAGCAGTGAGAAACAGCTCTAGATGTACATCTACCATAGCAGCTTTGACGTTTGGAAAAAGAGCAATAACGACCTCCATCTATACCCCGCCCCTGCGGTCATCAGGCTCGCTTTCCAGACGAAGTTCCTAAAGTGCGCCCCGAGCTTGACCGCCCCCCCCCCCCCCCACTTTTTAAAGTGTTCCCTACGTCTATTTCCTATTATACCGTTGTTCCTAACCAGACCTCCCATGGTAAAAGATACCCCACTTCCTTCGAAGCCCAGGCTCTGCAGACGTCATTTCTTACAAGATCTCGGGCATGCATAACCCAGTTGCCCTCTTTCCCCCAAATCCGCCGTCGATTTCGTCTCGCACAGATCGGCAGTTGCGAAACACCACGCGAGACACGAGAATCTCGATCTTAAGTCAGACGGGCGGGATTGCAGCGGAATTTTACGCATAGCAGCGGACAATTACTTTTAGAGATATTTCTGTTCACAGCTTCTGGGGTGCGGCTAGAGTCTTTTACTGTTCTCTGGACTCAACAGCAATTTAATGGTCTCGTGAGAATATTAAACCGGGCTATATCGCTGGGAGGAATTGTGCTTGTTCGTACGTTCGTACGTGAGAACGTTCCGCTGAATCCCAAATATGGAACCGATTCTGAATGTGAATGTGTTGCCAGCTTGACAAACGTCGTTCCTCTTATGTTTTCTGCGCAACAAATTATATATGCTCTTGACCAGCAAGAAAAAGAAAAGGGTTTAGCCAACGCCAAATTCCGTAAAATATTGGCCGTGTTCGTCGACGTAAAAATCCGCATTGACCATTTGACATACGCGTTCAAAACAACTCTGCGGCGTGTTGACAGCGGTCAGCGGTGCGGTGCAGCACGTGTACGTGTTGATTTATTGAGATGTGGGATGGGTACGGGTGTACGTACTCGCGGATGTAGAGTGAGAGGGTTTACGGCGGAGAGTAGTTCCGTAAACAGCGATTTTGGCAGTGGCGGTATGTAATACTTCTGAGGGATTCTCGGATAATTACTTTCAGCCTAATCACAACGGTAAAATAAAAAGGATGCCCGTGACCGGTACCATTATGCTTGTTTGAGACATTTGCTACTTGGAGTGTGGTGTCTGGTCTATGAAATATTGTGGTGTGTCAGGTCTTAGCATAACTGGTCTTCCTTAGTTTTAGGGCCTGGTAACTAACTACAGATTGCAGTGAGCTTAGGATGATGGTGTGGGCCTGGCAGCTATCTGCAGATTACAGTGGGCTTAAATGTGTTGTGGGCACTTAACTGCCACAATGCAACAAAAATGCCTGTCATATTGTGTGTAGGTATGAGGAGTTAATCAGGGGTAGCACCACCAGCTTTTGGTAGGATTGGATGAAGCCATAAAACTGTCATGACACATGAATAAAAGGTAATATAACTGAGGTAAAAAGGTAAAATAGGTAAAATAACTGAGGGCCATATATCTGGCCATGTACTACTAGGACAATAAATATCCTAACAATGCCTGCTTGAGGATCACAAAATGTGATGTTTTAACTGGGAAAAGCAACTGGCACAAACCAGTTAACTTACTGGCAATAAAAGCTAGGCAGAGATGGGCCCTAACACACTGCTGCCAGTTTGATCCTTCTCTGCATCACCATCAACATGTGTCTGGATGGCCGCTTGATGCTCTTCACTCCTGTGTTGGGTTCAGTTTGATCCTTGAGATTTCAGAAACCAAGAAAGCTAGAGACACCAAATTCACATAGTGTGATGGTCTGCATGTGAAGTTGCCCATCACCATTTGAGGTTACTAAGTCATGGCCTTCAAGCCAAATAAGGCCAAACAAGGTCAAAACCAAATTGGTGTCCCAAAAAGTGCCCCAGAACCTAGACACCTACTCTAAACAAAAGGTCACTGGTGCTCATTTAAGATCAGTGACCTTGTTTAACCTTTTGCAGCTTATGGTGAGCAAAATAGTACAAGACTGCTTTGGGCTTTGCACCTGAATAAGTGTAAAAGATTATGCTGGGCAGTATGTTCTTAAAACAAAATGTTGACCTGGGCCACTTAAGGTTAGTGACCTATCCTGACCTTTAAGAAGTCATGCAGGATGATGATGATGATTTGGGTTTAAGGGAGCGTCGATGGCGGAGGTTGTTTTGCGCACATCCATGCAAGATATATCATGTGCTTTCTGCTATCAAAAATTTGATGTCAGCACCAGAAGCTATGCCATGCAGCAAGCTACAGAACAATAAAGCAGTTTGGTGATTACCTTTGTCTGACCTTCATAACTGACCCAAGGTCAATGGAATTTGTTCCTTTGTAATAACAAATTATCTGTCATTTAAAGGTGTACAGCTATACCGAGTTTGGCGCGGGTGCGTCACGCCGGTCGGAAATCACTCCCGAAAACATGCAGAGGGTCAAATTGACCCCCACCCGAGCGCGTGTTTAAGAGTGTTCTATAATGGGATGGGGGGGGGGTCGGAGTTGAAATACCTACCTTAAAGATCATTTAACAAAGTTCACAGCTCTGTCCTCTTTAAGGCCTCAGCCTCTCTAGTTTCTGAGCAAACGCCCGCAAAGATGTGCAAACTATTTTGGGAGACTATTCCTAGGTCGCCTAGGCATGCATGACGTCATAATGGTGTCATTCAATTCCTGCCATTCCATTAGCCATGCGGCGATCGAGGCTGAGAAAAGATGACTATCGAGTCGTTTATATCTGGTGTTCGTGAGCACGATTTCCAGATATAACGGCCGTCAATTGGCTCTCTTGTAATGTTGTGCTGGGCCTTGTGACGTAAAGAAACAATGACGCATTGAGGAACATATTAACTAAAAAGAGAACTTGTACTGTCTAGAGCAGCCTTCTCCACCTAAAAGCGTGCCAACAGTTATAATAAGTAGGCTGATCTCGCCATTTCTGATGCTTGCTTCAATGCCTTCAAATGTGGAACATTTTCCGCCCCCGTCGCACGCTAAAACTGCATTCAGCTGTGGGTGAACTGGCGGGCAAGGTTAAGAGGAGACAATCAAGTTTTGCGGCTGCAGGAATGACTTCCCGCGCGTTTTGCCGCACGTTGTGGAGGACAAACAAGTGGAGAGGTCCAAAGATAGGCGTCAGGAGTTATACTTGTAACTTTGGCGAAATTGGCAAAATGCTGGTGGCTTGCAATCTGCGAGTCGCATGTTCATGTGGCTTGCAGAGCACCCCTCTTCTCGTTCCCTGACGGCCCAATGTCCAGTAGCTGCGGCAGGCGGCGCGATGACCGGTCCGCCGAATGTGGGGGCGCTGCTGTTCCGGCGGCTGGACGGCAAGCCGGCCGAGTTCCACCTGGAGCGCGTATTCGGCGCCGAGCGCTCCCGCGTCACCCAGCTGGTCACGCGGCATGGTGGCGTGCTGGTGAACAACCCGGCCCGGCACCCGCACGCAGTGGTGCTGACTGGTGCGGCGCCCGGCTCCGAGCAGCGGCCGCCGATCTCCTACCGCAGCGACACCTTCAGCACGCAGTGAGCACGCGAGACTGAGGTGCGCCAGCCTTGCGATAGGTGGCGCACCGCTGTGGTTTTTTTGTTTGTGGTGTGTGCCCTGCGATGATCATGATTTGGGCGGGTGTGTAGACGGTGCATGTTAGGTTGACCTTGTGACGTCGTCAGTGTTGCTTTTCTGACCTCTTAATAACAAATCGTCACCATTTCAAGGAAGCCAAATTCCTGGGTATCTCCTGGTGCTTATATGCGTTCGGTCCCAAATGGGTCCATTGAAACCACTGTTTGCGATGACCACCCATCGCACACATCCGTCCCACTACGTGGATATCGTTTCTAGAGATGGCTGTGTGCAAAGCATGTTGCATCATTGTATGCTCGCATCGCTGCGCCTGTTGCACCTCTGAAAACGCGACTGCCGCCGATACGCTGTATGTATATTGCCGTGCTGCCTCTGTCCAACTGACCCGAGCGTAGCGCCTCCCTCGGTCCGCAAACACAGCGTTCTTGCCGGCCTCTGACCGTGCACTGCCTGCCGGCCGGCAGGTTCGTCGATGAGTGCGCGTCGGCCGGCCGTCTGCTGGACCTGAGCCGGTTCCGTGCGCAGACAGAGTCCCTGTACGCGCACCCGTCTGAGGCGTCAGCCGTGCTGCTTGGCGAGCGCGCCTGGCCCGAGTTGCAGCTGGATGCGCGCTTCGCGCCCGTCGTCTCGGACGAAGATGAGCAGCTAGCGGCCGAGCTGGCGGCGGCAGACGCGCCGCTGGGACGCGCTGGCTCCGTGTGGAAAGGCCGCGCGCATTTCACCCGCCTGCAGGACGTGAGCATACTGCGGCTGGTGGCGGCTCGGCCCTGCAGTGGCGGCTCGCCGCCGACGGCGCCGCGCTACTGGCAGCTGATGGCGCCGCGGCTGCCGGCCGCGTTGACCGACCACCCACCGCTCTCGCTGTGGACGCGGTTCGTGAAGCGCGTGGTGCCGTGTCTGGCCGAGTTCAGGGGCGCCTTGCCGCTGCCGGCGCTGGTGGCCGTGTCGCGCGCGGTCGGCGCCGGGCTGGCGCTCACGGAGGACGAGCGGCGCCAGATGGCGGCGGAGGCCGAGCGCCGCGCCGACCAGGCGGCCGCGGCCGGCGACAGCTGGTGTTCGGACAGCGGGGACGCGGCAGATGGCGCCGGCGGAGCCAGGGCGGGCGGCCTCGGAGGCGCGCCTGGCACGAGCGCCGTCCGTGTCGTACAGACTCCGGGCGAGCTGGAGCTGAATGTGTCGCACGTCTCGGGGGGGCCCTCGGAGTTGAGCGACGACGACACGGTGGCGCCCGAGCCGCCACACGAGGAGCTGCAACGCGACGGCACGGCCGGCCGCGACGTTCACTCCTTCCACATGGACTGGGACAGGGCGGAGGACGAGCCGGAGCGGACGCTGGCACGCGCCCCCGCAGCGGCGGCGCCTACCGCCCGATCGGACACGTCTCGGCTCGCTCGCATGCGCATTCGTCGCTTGTGCGGCTCGGGCGAGGAGGCGCGGACCGCCGCGGCCGGGGCGGGCCCCGCCAGCGACTCTCCGCGCCGGTCTGTGTGCGCCGGCGGCACCAGGACCGCCGCGACGCCCGCGGAGCGCACCGAGTCGCCGGCGAGCGACGACAGCGCGTCCGGCGGTGGCTTGCCGGGCGGTGCGCGGCGGCGACTGGGACTGCGACGCCGGCGCGGCGCGGCTGTCCGGCGCTCGCCCAGCCCGGCCGTCTCCGCCGTCAGCGTCCGCTCCCGCTGCCTGTACACGCAGCTGGAGGAGGGCCGGCTGCTGCTGCGCCTGCTGAAGGAGAAGGGCCGCGCGCGGCTGACGGGCCGAAGCCTCTGGCGCCGGATAGAGACCGAGCGCTGCGTGCCCCGCCGCACTTGGCAGTCACTCAAGCAGCACTATCTGGCGGTGATGGAGCCCCGCCTGGACGAGTACGGTTCGCTGACAAAGCGGCAGCGCAACTGGCTGCGCGTGCCGGCGCCGCTACCGCGCCGCAGCCGCCGCCGACCGTACGAGCGCGAAGAGGACGTGGCCATCCTGCGCTTCTTCATGGAGGCGCCGCGCCGCCTGCTGGTGGCGCGTGGCAGGGCCATCTGGCAGGAGGCAGAGCGCGCTTTGGGGCCGGGCCGCACCTGGCAGTCACTCAAGGAGCGCTTCCTCAAGAGCATCGTGCCCAACTGCGAGCGGTACGCCGGTGAAGACGTGCCGGAGCCGTTCTGCGACGAGGTGCGGCGCGTGCTACTTGATAGCGATACTTCGGACTGTTCGTAGCGCTCCACGCAGGGTGACACGTCAAACAGCCGCATGCCTTTCAGCCAGGACTGTGTTCGTTGCTAGTCGGGCAGTCGTGCCAAGTTGAGTGCGCTGTATCCACGCGAAGATGTTACGTGTGCCATAAATCATGGAAAGGTCCTTATGGATTTACAAGGGACTGTTCGTAGCGGTCTGCGCCCCGCCAGTCAGGCCGCCGTGCCCGTAGGGCAACGCTGAAAACAGCCGCATGCTTTTCAGCCAGGAACTGCATACAGGGGCGCAGCCAGAGCTTCCAAGCAGGGCACAGTTGACAAAGGGCCCCTAACAGGAAAAGGGTCTTTCCCCAAAAAATCGCCGGATATGGTCCATGTGTAATTGAGGACGTGTTTTCTTATATATATATATATATATATATATATATATATATATATATATATGTATATCTATATATATATATATGTACACACACACACATATATATATATATATATATATATATATATATCTATCTATCTATCTATATATATACATATATATATATATATCTATATATATAGATATATATTCCCCATTGCTACCCTCCTTAACTGAAATAAAGGCCATACGCTACCGCGCTCAATTCTACCTTAAATTTACGGTAAATATACTGACAAAATCATGCGCCAAATGGCTACACGAAATAAATCGCCGGTGTTCTTCCTTTCACAATGGTTCGGTAGACTCCTTTAGACGCATAGAGCTCAGAACTTTTGTCAGAGTTTTTATCTGGGCTGTTCAGAAATAACAAGGATGCAGCGAATGTAGATTGAAAATCGAGGTAGGTTGACAAGCTGTATTAACATGGCCAGGCCATGTTTTGTGTGGATATGTTCAGCATTCAGGCAGAATCGAAGTGGTACAAGTTATGTAACATAATTTTGAGGTAGCGCACTAGCATATCTGAAAAACTCGACGCCCAGCGTTGCAGTCTCCCTAGGCCGCGCAGGGTCGACTTTGCGGCCAATATTAAGTTGTGGCCAACAGGTGAAAGAAGTACCTTTCAGGGCTTCTGGACGCCAATCGTTTATAGAGAGATATTCCGGGCTTATATTTCACCTGTGCGGTTTTTAGACTAATGAAAACGTATTGACCTTTACAGCATAGCGAAGTGGTCCTGGAATCTGGTGACGCTGGCAGAGAAGGGCAAAATATCTGATTTTCGCGTTGCTGCAGCTGTTTGTGCCCAGAGGACAACCTCAAAGCTATAAACGAGGTTCTCTCATTGTAATTCTTGAACTGCACAAATCAATTTTGAGGGACATTAAGAAACATTATTTTGCAATGGGCGTTGTTGCGCGCTCGGCGCCCGGCCCTTGGAGTTACTTGCAGTGGCCAACGCCGTTCGGTTTAACGAAAAGTGCGACCCGAGCCATTGCTATCCTTGTTACCCGAAGTTACAGGCGTGCCAATGAAGCTTCATGACACGCTCAGCTGCTGGGGCTATATGGTGCCGCCAGCCCATCGCCCTGACGGGAAGGACGGGCACTGTGGGGAATCGAACCCCGTACCCGCAGTTTCCCAGACATGCAGTGGTTAACGCGGGCGCGTTAACCACTACACTAGCGGCACCCGGCGCGCAGCCTCAAACCTTCTGATGGCGCTTGTTTTACTAGTCGATTCTGCAAAATAATGCATGTTCTCGGGGAAACATGGAATGGCCTTGTTTGAACTCATTTTGTCACACTCCAATCAACACTAATGAGATCCCTTATTTCTCTCCGGTAAAGGGTCCCACTGATGTCCAACACTACGGGGCACATTGTTGTTCCCGGCCAAGGGCTGCAGGTATGTCCTGTCCCACCGCGGTGTGTTTTCCGGCCGCCATTTTGGCGATACGGCGTGGTATTTTCTGTTCGATCCGGAGGCCATTAGACGGATACATCATGTCTTTGGTCCGCTCCCTAACACGGGAGGCGATCGGAACCGCGCGGTTGACCTCGGTTCGACGCATGAACCGTGATTAATGCAACAACATCTCTGCTCGCTGCAGGTGGTCAAATATATAACACATATACTCCAGTTGGGCTTAACGGGCCCATACTGTAATAGGGTTGAAGCGTGCACCGTTCGGCACTGGGGGTCCTGATTGGCAAAGGGGTCTTCTAGTACCTCGGTGTGAGCACTCATAAGTTCTTATGTTTCCTTCGATTATCAGAGGACTCCGACCAACTAAAGAGACTCTCTGCCATTCAGGCTCCCGTCCCCGTTCCTGTTGGGCAAACCTTCCTCTGACCGCATCGAGGCCTCTTGTTGACACATAGTGCTCTGTTGGGCACTGCGGGTCCCTGAACGACACAGGAGCCCGACCATTGTAAGTCGCATACCCGGCCTTGTCCATGCCTGGGAAACGGGCACCCAGAGCTCTTGGTCTCATGGGCCCAGACGGTAATGGAGCCGACTATTCGGCGTTCGTGGTCTCTGACCGGCTAGTGCACCCACATTATCTCAGGGGTTCCTCGAACGTTGCAAGAGGACCGCTGGCGTATATGTCAGGTCACTACCCTATGGGCCGCGATTCTTAACGTAACCTACAGCCAGACCTTCTGGTCGTTACGCCCTTCAGCCGAGCCTTTGATCGTCCGTTCCGGTGGGTCGCCCGGGCCCCTCTTCGGGTCTCATCAAACATTACCCTTGGTCAGCGCGGGGCCCCTTGCGAGCACACGACCCTTTGTTAAACACTGTGGGCCTTAAACAGACACAGAGGCCCCGACCAGTGTAAATCAATGACCCTGGCTTTGCCCCTGCTTGGAAAATGGCCCCTCAGGCCCATGCCGCCACAGAGCCGACTGTGTGTTACTGGTAGAGTCTGATGTGAAAGGAATTCTCGGTCGGGCTGCCTCACACGCAGCGGTGACCTGCAGCACACGACGCCGACAGGGAGAGACCCACCCCACGCGCCCGAGCAGCACCTCTTGTACGCCCTCCAAGGCTCATCCCCGCAACACGATCTGCGAGTGACTGGCCGGCGCCACCGTGACGCACCGCCCCGAGCCGTGATTGATCCCCTCACTCAGACATGGGTCATCGCCCCGCTCGCCTTACATGCTGACACACGGTCCCGGGGCATGGTCCACCGCCACACCCACCCCTGCTCTTCAAGGATCATACACAGTCACGCCGACGTTTCATACTATCCAATCACTCGACACACCATAAAGTTGGCTCGGTTGCCGGCGCACACGCTGGCTGCGTCGCAGCGGCATCGTCGCAACTTCTTCCGCCGGCTGCTCAGGACAGGCCAGGATGCCCACCGGTTCCGTCCCAGTCGCCGCCGGTGCGTGCTCCGCGTTGTCCGGGTTGTCAGCGACTGTGCCAGAGCCCTCCTGGTGTGACGGGCCCGCGGCCAGGTATAGGGGTCCGTCGTCCTCCTTGTCACTGGCGTCACATCGCGATGCATCGCTGTACCGAAGCCACAGATCCCGCACGTGCCACGGTACGCCATCCACCTCGGCCACTTGCGACGACACGATCCGCGTGACGACGCCCTGAAGAGGTGTTGCCGTACATCGCGTACCACGGCAGCGCATCCAGACGAGGTCACCAACTTGTAGCGTGGAGTTGCCGGGCCGTTGCCGCGCCTCGTCTGGCGCCGGTGGTGACCTCTGCGAGTCATCGGCCATGTCACGCTGGCTGGGCTGCACGCAGTCTCGCATCTGGTACCGGTAAATGCCAGCGGCCGGTGCGTCCGCGGCAGAGTGGCCAGAACCCGGAGGAATGTTGTACAGGTGCACGGCCTCTGCAGTGGTCCAACGTAGCCGCGCAGCGATCACTTTTATCGTGCGATGACTGCGCTCCACGATGCCGTAGCCCCCTGGCTCGTGGACGGCCCGGAAGCGAAGAGCTGTGCCCCACTTTGACGCCAAAGCAGCCATCTGACGGCCACGGAAGACCACGTCGTTATCCGCCAGAATTTCTGCCGGCGCGCCGTGCTCGTAGAAGATCGCCTCTGGATGTTGGACGACTTCCGTTGCATCGGCACGGCGCAGCTGCCGGTACAGGCTGTACCGGGACGTGCCGCAGTCAATCAGGGACAGGTACGATCCACCTTGGTAGTGAGCCACGTCTATCGCGAGACGTGTCCATGTGTCGGGGACGTGCAGCGAGCCATGCCGCCACCGCGTCGGCACTGGGTCGATGGATCGGCACACATCGTACCGACCCACAACCGATCGTACGGCGGCTTGCGACGCCTCCCGCGCTACGTCGCGCCTCACGAAGTACCGTAGTGTCCGGCGGATTCCTGGGTGGCCGGCACTCTCGTGTGCGTGCACGATCCGCGCCTCGATGTCCATGCCATTGCTGCCCTTCGCCGCGTCAGCACCATCACGTACGGCGGCAGCTGCCGCCCTGGAGCCGATGCGCATGCTCTTGTCACGTCTCACAGCACCTGCACCCCCAGTGCGTGCCAGGATCCTAGCTGGCACACCGTCGTCTACCTGGGTCCCGCGCAGCCATTCCATGGGGACGCGGATCAGAGTATCCGCTAGGTTTTCATCCGACCGCACCAGCGCGATTGTCAGCGTTAGGTTCAGCCCATCCATCAACTGCCGGATGACGTCAATGCACCGTCGAATCAGCATTTCGCCATGCACCTTGGTGCGGAGGCGCGCGCGGTCACTCAGCGCGTCGTCAATCCACCGGTGGACCGTAGCGGAGTCAGTGCGGAGGTCAATGATCTCCATCCCCCAGGTCATCCCATCCGTGCGTGACGGTATTCACCCTGCACTTCAGCCAAGCGACAGCAGGGCGAAGCCAGCGGCTGGCGGTCAGATGAGCCACCAGCCGGCCGCACCATGCGAACACAGCGCGCCGCGTGACCTGCTCCCGTGGTGCAGCGACGCCATTGTCACGCGACCAGTGCAGTTTCCCATCCACCAGCTGCACGCGCAGGCCGAGCAGGCGCGCGCCGTCCGCTACACGCTCCAGCGCTTTGCAGGCCAGGCCGAAGCGAACGAAGTGACGCACCACGTGGTCTGCGCTCACGATGTCTTCGTCGACCAGCGGGTCATCCACGTATGGGAGCACGGCGCGCTGCATGTCGTCGTCCTCCGCCAGCACTGCACGAACGACAGCCTCCATGATGAGCGGGGCGACGTTGAGCCCAAACCCCAGTCCTGTCAGGCAGTACCGCTGTCCTCGCACCATGACCGTCTGGTAGGGCCACAGTCGGCGTTCCAGGCGCAGCTGCAGGTACGCCTTGCGTAGGTCCACCACGGCGACACGCGTCCCATGTCGCCGCCTCTTTCGGAGCTGGTCGGCGCAGACGTCCGAGTCCGCCGTGTGGGCCGTCACGAGGCTGTTAAGCTCGCGATAGTCCAGGACAGGTCTCAACTTATCCTGATTTGCCTGCCGCACCGCCATCAGCGGCGCCAGACCGCGCGGCGGTCCATCCACCTGTTGGTCGTACGGCATCAGCCAGCCATTGCTGATCCATGCGTCGATCTCCGCGTCGTACGCCTGCCGCGCGTCCGCGGGCACAGGATACTCGGCCACCACGTTGCGTAGACATTCTGCACCTGTGCCGCCCGTCCACTTCCAGGCGACCGTCCACGCTTGCTGCTCGCCGCTAAACCTCGCCGTAAAGTCGACTGCGTCCACCTCCAGGCCTCGCTGGGTCACAGCTGCCGCCGCACAGAACTGCACGTCTGTCGGCGTCCGCACGCTGATGCCTCCCAGGGCAGTGGTGCCACTCATGCCGAGCACGACGTCAACACCCAGCGGTCGGTCCGGCACTACCAGGACCTCGAGCGTCACTCGACGGTCCTTGCCATTAACCACTATGCTGCCGGTCCCGCAGCATCTAAGTTCCTGGCCGTTAATCGTGGCCATTTTCACCGTCCGCGGTGTCCATTGTTCCCAGCGGCCAGTGTACAAGAGCGTGTCCGTACAGCCCGCGTCCACCAGCTGACCGTCCGCCCATTCACCTCCAGCCGGGTGGTGGGCAGCGCGCCCCTTAATGGCGGGGAGACGGCGCTCGCGCTGACGCGGTGTCCCACCGACTCGTTTCCCGACCGACGCTGTGGACAGGCGACGGCGATTTGGCCCGACTGACCGCACGTCCAGCAGCGTCGCAGTTGGCGTCTCGCCAAGCGCATCGTCGGGGATCGTGGAGGCGCCTCTGCACGCGCCACGGCCGCTGCCACAGCGACGCGTTCATCGCTGAGCACGGCTCGTGCCCGTGCGAGAACACTCGCTAGGTCCAGCGCCTCCGCGAGGGTGCCGGCCCGGATCGTCTTGCGGACTTCGTCTGGCAGGCCGGAGACGAATGCGCAGACGAGTGCGCTGTCAGGCACTCCGCCGAACAGGGAGGCGAGCCGGCGCAGGTCTGCAGGGTACACGTCCGCAGGCTCCCTAAGCTGCAGACGGCGGCTCGCAAATGCATCGTAAGCCTCGAGGCGGTCCATGGCGAACGCGTCGTACAACGCGTCGCGCACGGCGTCTGCGGAGTCCCGCGACGTCTCCGGCATCTGCAGCCAGACAGCAAAGGCGCCGCCCGTGAGCCGTGCCGCCAGGACACCGGTCAGGTCCACGCCGTGATGCCTGCACGGCACCGCTGCGCGCGTGAACCACTCCACGACGTCCGACGATCCATCGTACCCCGGGATGAGCCGGGCTTCAAACGGCCCGCCTCCATCCCACGTGACGACCCTGCTCCCGCTGGCGCTCCCGCTGGCTGACGCTGGTGTCGCTGCGCCACCAGTCGTGATGGACATCGTCACACCGCCTGCAACCGCTGCCGGGGTCTCGGGCATTCTGGCCGAAATAGCTTGTGAAAAGAATTCTCGGTCGGACTGCCTCACACGCAGCGGTGACCTGCCGCACACGACGCCGACAGGGAGAGCCCCACCCCACGCGCCCGAGCAGCACCTCTTGTACTCCTTCCAAGGCTCATCCCAGCAACACGATCTGCGAGCGACTGGCCGGCGCCACCGTGACGCACCGCCCCGGGCCGTGATTGCTCCCCTCACTCAGACATGGGTCATCGCCCCGCTCGCCTTACATGCTGACACACGGTCCCGGGACATGGTCCACCGCTACATCTGACCAAAATATGGGTCATCGAATCAGCACGCTCCAAATCAGCGCGCAGGACCATCTGACTGGCATTGGAGTGCTCGTCCGTGCGGGCCGGGACACCTGCATGAGACCTCCAACTGGCTTTTCGGGCCCTTCAGGTCGTCAAATTGGAGCTTTAATCGCGGGTTCCGACGGGCATAAAGGGCCCACGAAGCCTAGGGGGGAGCATGTGCCCCCTGCCCCCCTCCCCCTCCCGCCCGCGCTACTATGTACGACGCGTGAATCTTATAGTCGTGCCAAGTTGGGTGCGCTGTTTCCACGCGAAGATGCAACGTGCTCCATCAGTCATCCTGGAAAGGTCTATGATTTCACAGGTTGCGGGGAAGGAGTGCACGTTTGTTTTGTGGATTAGCATCATCTGTAAGTAATTTACAGTACACAGTGCACACTCTTACGGACGCGGCACACAAGCGCGGATCTAGATCAGTTACGGTTGTTGCGATGCCCTATTTATGTTTAGACCTCGAAAGTCTCCAGTCGTGGTGGTCGCCGAGGTCATAAGTGTCTGCTGCTTTTTTAATCTCAGTACTGTTACCGAATGTCTAGGAATGTTCGAGAATTGGATATTTGGATCTACACGTTTAGAGCTGTAATGTTTTCGGGGACGCGCTGCATCTGTAACATCTCATTTAACGTAAGGAGATTAACATTACAGTGTTCACATCAAACCCATGACAGGAAGAACAGACGCAGAAATGCTATGGCATCGTTCAAATTTTTGGGAAGTTTCGTTTCAGGATACCGGCGGGCAGGAATATTTGCGGCGCCTAAGCTATTAGTGGTTATATCGAACAGTCGCACTTTCCTCTCAATCATTCTTGACGTCTCGCGATGATCGGCAGGCCCTCTTCTCTCTTATCCTGACAAACATTTCCTAGCGGGTAGCATGTCATGGGCGACTACAAGGCCCAGGGCGCCGCTTCACTTTTGGAGAATCCCGCCCTCCCACTGATGAATCGAGCCCCGTCTAAACGCACGTTCCTTGCAATGAGCCGAGTTTTCGCACGGAATTTTATATGTTTGCACTTGCTCCCCTCCACGACTGGGAGCCCACGTAATCCCGGTGTGTACAACCACCTACAAGAATTTGGGGCGTGTATGAGCCCGGCGCGAAGCCACTCGGAAGTGTAGTCTCGCAGCCTTATACCGGAGCAGAAGTCCCATTTCCATACATGTGTTATATGCAGTGTGCGATGGTCAGCGGACAGGCAGAGTTAACGTGAGGCCTGAAGAAGTTAATATGTGGAGGAAAGAACATAAAAACTTAACACTTTCCCGTCGTTCCTCGCATCGAACGCCCAGTCACAACAAATGACGTCACGCATTCCTACTGACAACTGTGCAGACGACAGATCGAACAGGGCCAAGGTGGCGCGCGCCAGACGTCAGGTCAGGTGATTGTCAACGTAACGAGCTGGCCCGCGCCCGTTGAGGTCTGTTGTGGGGCGGTCACCCGGGCTCGTTTTGCGGTAGCCGAGAGGTGCAAAGGTAGTTCATTTTTTGTTCACTTTTTCTTCGTGTATCAATTCTGAGGAAAATTGTCGATATTGCATGCGCACGTTTTACCTCAGATTCTTCATACCCAAACCTGAAGTCCATGCCTGTGCGGTGGTTTGAATTTGGGGAGGCCATGTGTTAAGTTTGTGTGAAGTGCGAGCGTAACTTTGTGCCTGTGTGTGGTTTATTTCATGTGTCACATTGCAATTATGCTTACCCTGCACTGTTGAAGGTGTATTTGGCTGATTTATATCCCATGCAGATTCATGCAGTGCAGTTCCTAAAAATTGTGCATGATTGCAATTTTGAAACTGCACCTTGGAAGTCAAGATGGGCACAGGCAAACAGGTACCTTACATGACAGAATATCAGTGCACAAAAGTTAGCTTTTTCAGGCAGTATTATTTTTATTTAAACTTTTAAATGATCGTATAACAGGTTTATCCACACTCTAACATCCGAACTGAAGGCGTGATACAGTGTTCCAGTGCTCCAGAAATCTAAGATGACCCAGAGGCCATTGCTACAGCATAGTCAAATTGCTGCATGTCAAGAACCATAAGATATGCATGGGACCAACACAAAAATAGTTAAAATAACTATATGCCCATCCAAAACTGATAGTGATATTGCACTGTAACTTGAAATGGAGCTGCATAGAGTGGGATTGTTAGACAACTGCTTAAGTTAGAATTTTAGGCTGAAGACCCAGCTGATCTGGAATCATTCCATGAAAACTGCCTTAAAAGAAAAGTTAGTTTAACAAGGGTCAAAATGATGAAGTTTGTGTTGTAATATGTATTGTGATCTTGAGTTATGGTGGTCATATAACATGACTGCTGAGGGGCTCAGTGTATGCAACCATGATTCAGAAAAGCATTCACCATTCTTATGCGTTTCAGACTCCAGTGATGTCGGAAGCAACTCCAAGGAAACCCAATACTGCAGGTACAACATGAGTGATCGTTGTGATGTGTGACTTCTTGGAATAGTGCCAAAATGTTAAGTGCCATGTTTAAATGTGGCATACCTTTTTAGTGGTTTGCCAGGCTGACTGTTTTTACACATCACGATGGGCCAGGTACATGGTTTGAACCCACCACGCAAGATCGACCAGTCCCGAGTCCAGTTTATCAGATGAATTTACCTCCAGCACTTTCCCAAACAAGACTACAGAGGCCTGCACATTCCATCCAGTGCTATGATATGACTGCCCCCGAGTCAGGGTTATTGTTCAATCAGATGATCAACTGACCTCTCCATGTCAAGCCAACCAGTGTGAGCATTGCTGGAAGTCATACTGAACACTGTTAAATTATTCCTTATTTCTGTTCTGACTGGAGTGTAATGATTACTTTGTATGTTGGCTTAATATGAGATTTTTTACTGTGGACCACAGGACAGACCACATGGACAGACCAGAGATATTTAACATCTATGAATTAAGTATGACACATTTGTGGTCAAAAGATGCACAAGTCTGTCAAAGTGATTTGGCATGATGAAAAGGCATGATGGGACACCAAAAAAAGCTTCCTGGCAACAGGATACACAATTTTGAAACCCAATAAATTCTGGGCCCCTGTAGTATTGTCATTTTTACACTATGGCTTTGGTATCTGAGCAGAACATCATGAGTGGGCAATAGCAAGACCATTTTCTGGTACTTGTCTGCTGCTGGGCCCATGTTAAGGCCAAACATTTATGGAATTTAGACTGTATTAAAAGAAACTTGAAAAATTAGAAGCAACCATGGATACTACTCTGATTAGGTGGTATAGATTTGTCAAGATTTCTCTTCATGTTGTAGGAATTGATTGGATCTTTGCTGGTGTTCTGTTGCAGGGATTTACACAAATTCTGTAACATTTACTACATACTGGGCTGTAGTATTGGAGTCAAAGACAGAGCAATGCAATTATTTCAATTGTTCACAATTTATAGACAGTTGAAGGTTGCTTTTTGGAAATAGTACGGCCATCAGCACTTGCCATTTTAGTGACAGTGTTGAAAGCATTCCATTGATGCAGTCTGCGTGTCAACAATTGTTTTTCACAACCATTGTCAGTCATGTGTCTCTTGCCATCAGATGGTGTGTATTTTGATGACCCAGAGCTGCCGGAGGGCTGGACCAGGAAATGTGTGCAGAGATCTACAGGCCAGTCAGCAGGCAAATGGGATGTCTATGTCTACAAGTGAGTGTGAGAATCTGATTGCCATAGCCATGCTATTTGAAAGCATGATTTTGCAACTGTTGTGCCGTTAGGCCCTTGTATTTCCTTCGGGGTGCCAGTAGTATAGTGGTTAGCATGTCTGTGCTAACCACTGCACATCTGGGGAACCAGAGGTACAGGTTTCGATTCCCTGCGGTGCCTGCCCTTCCTGCCAGGGTGAGAGGTAGGTGACACCATATGGCCTCAGCAGCTGAGTGTGCTGTAAAGCCCCAATGACACATGTATTTCCTTCTGTTATTGGAACTTGGACTGAACTTTCCATTATGGATCTGCTTTTACCTCACACTGTAATCAAGTGATTTTTTGTACCTGACTGCCTACTGTGATGTATTGGAATTGCTTGAAAACTTTGAGAACCTCATTTTTGTAGCAGCAAACAGTGGACCTGAAGTCAACCCCAGTTAGTTTAAAGCATGTATGAACTTGTTAACCTATTTTGTGCCAAGGGGCATTTAGGAATTAATTTTTTTTGTAGCTGTCAATGCTTGAAAGTAATGTCTTGTGTTTCATGCACATGTTTAAATTAATTTTACATAGCAATGGCCCAGGGTGAAATTTTTTTGACATCTGGGTAGAAAATGACACATTTTTATTGTTTTTATCCTCATCACACTCACCATCCCCACACTAGTTTGTCTTTCCTTCTTTGCCACCACACAGATGGTCAAATTAATCAACCTTTTTCTGAGGGCACCATTAACTGCTATTTGTTTGCATCATGTGATGCATTCAGTGGCTTCAATTTGACTTTATATTTCAGGGAACCCAACAGAAGCGCCAGGGCCCATCCTTCCTCATATCCTGCATCCTGCAAAATGTCATCTACAGGACATGAAAGTGGTGCCTACTCTAAAACTATCATCCTGTGCATCCTGTATGTCTCATCCTGTCTGTACTTGACCTGACCCGGTCTGTACATCATAATACAATCCTAAGGCCCAAAGGCCTCAAAAAGACCTCCTTGTTTAGTTCACGGTGAACAGTAATGAGCTACATGCCAACAGAATGTGTATGAAAGCTCAGATACAAAAAAACACACAACAACTCAACAATATTTCAAGATGAGGGTGTGGCAAACATTGACAAACTCAATTTGGATTGAATGGGGCTGGAAGCTGCAGTCTACATGCCGATAGCGTATCCGACATCATTGAAATCGGTACTCCCCAAGTAGACGTCACCTTTTTAGGGACAAAAACAATAGGTTTCAATTATACAGTTCCCTTGAACACTGGGCAAGAGGCTAGTTGAAGGAAATCGTTTCGGAAAATCATGCTAATTCTACCCTAAATCCGCTTATATATCGTATATATCAGAAATATCAGCGTCGACCCCAAATCCGTGTTTTGGCACCGCGAATGCTCTTGATAGAGGTGCTGGGCGTCTTCTCAAGGAAATGTGATTCGAGAATACGCGTGCCATCTGATGATGACGTCAGAGCGGAACAAATGTTTTGTTGTCTTTTGTTATGCAATGTTGATTACGTTACTGGGATAATACGTAGTTTCTGCGCTTTGAAGAATGCTGAAATCCTTCAATACGCGATGTTGATTACGTCACTGGGATACCAAACAATTCCTGCGTTTTCAAAAGTGATTAACTGTTTACGGAGGCTGAGGTTTACGGAGCAGACCCGTAGTGCGGCCTTGGCCGACTCGGGCCACTTGCCGCCACACAACCCTGTCAGGCACTGAGGCTCCTAACCGATACAGGAGACACTCGACGCCCCATATTGAGGACCTAGGGGAGAGGAATGGAGAACCCCAATTCAGAGGGCCCAGCAGAAGCCCTCTGACATTTCAGGTCACGGTACTACGGGTGGGGGGGGGGAGGGGGGGGGGGGGGCGAGCCCTATCCCGTGATCTTAAGTCTTGAGAGGCCCCCCGGCCCCTCTTCGGGCTTTTTCAAACAAAACCGATGACGGACTATTATAAGCCGCTACCCGAGATGGGGCCCCCAGGGTTCAGACTGACAGGAAGCCAGCTGTTCGGCGTTCGTGGTCTCTGACTGACTTAGACACCCGCATTGTCATAGGGGTTCCTCAAAAGGTGCAAGAGGACTTCGGACTGATATTTTAGGCCACGACCCTGTGCGCTGCGGTTCTTTATGCGACCTACAGTCTGCCCTTCAGGCCCTAATGCCCTCTAACCGGGCTTTTGATAGTCTGTTCCGCCGGACCCTCAAGGCCCCTCTTCGGGCCCCATTGAACACTGCGCTTGGTCGGCTCGGGTCCTTTGTGAGCTCGGCGTCTTTTAGGCGCTGTGGGTCCTTGGCAGATACACGGGACCCGACCAGTGCTGAACAGTGCAATTCACCGACTCCAGGTTTTTCCTTGCTTGGGAAATGAACCCTCATGCCCATGCCGCCACGGAGGCGACTGCGCAGTTCTGGTGGCGACGGACTTTTAACACCTATATCTTTTTAGGGTGTCCCTGATCGGCGCAAAGCGTCCTCTGACTATCAGAGGTTCCGTCCCGTAGATCGGGGCCGTTGAATAAGACAGCCCAGCCTTACGGCTAAATTAACCATCCAATCGAGCCCTTGATTGTCGGAGCCGGTGGGCCCTTCAGGTTGTTCGGGCCTCCTCTAGCCGACTTTGGGCAACTTGCCAGCACATGGCCCCCGTAAGGCACTGTGAGGCCCGACCAATGTAAATTGCTGGCTCCGGTTTTATCCCTGCTTGGGAAATGGACACTCAGTCCCATGCGGCCATGGAGTCGAGTGTGCGTTACTGTCGGTGTCTGACCGACATACAGGCCCCTATCGGCTCAGGGGACCCTGATCAGTGCGTAGGGCCATGTGGGTGGCACTGGGGTGCCGCTTATTTGGTATCGCAGTGACGCCATAGTCGCCATGCAATAAAGGATACAAAAACCCCGTTCGCTCGGCAATGGCGTCATCGACAGCTGGTGCGTGTAGGCACGAGCCGCATATATTTTTTCGTACATGCGCATCCTAGCAACCGTTGTCAGCGGTGTTGGAACTAATGCTGACCGAAATGGCCTAGCTATCGATGTTCTGGAAAAATGTTTTATCTTACCAAATATCAGAGGTGACGAGAAATATATTTATAACGTAATTTTGTTTATACATTTATATTTGCTGTAGCTCAACAACTAGCTTTCAAGAACAACGAGAAACAGGGTTTTGGAGCGGGAAAGCTGAGGCCACCAGAACGTACATTGTCGACCATACATTGAATGAAAGAGATGGAAACGCAGCGAAACTTCTCCGAATATTTTGCGTTTGCTTCTTTCTATTATTGCCGTCATATTTTGGGCAACCCTTCCACGCACGGGGTATCCGGTGCTAGGATGTAGTAGCGAGATGTACTACTATAATGAGGCTCCTGGGACATGTATAGCTAACCCCATGCTTGGTTCCGGTCATCAAGATCTTTTGGCTTAGCCATCTGTTTCTCCTGTAGCTATAACCTTTAGTGCCAGGCATCAGGCATTATAATGTGGGAGCTGGAATGATTGCCTGTTTTTGGTGTATTGTCTTTGTCCCGTTCGGTATTTGGTGCCTGATAAATGGTTTGCAACATTTATCAATTACTTGCCCCGTTTTCACCTGAGCCAAGTTATGAAGGTCATGAGTGAATAGAAAGAGAGGTGTTATCATTTAGCAGAAAAGCAGAACAATGGTTTTAGGATATTATTTATGTAAATGGCGCATCATAAACACTTCTTTAAAGAAAATCAGGATTCAGGATCAGGATTCCGCCAGTCTCTTTCAGAGGAAGAATCTGATACGACTGTGCTGTGGTGGCGGTCTGGAAAGGAAAGGGATCCAGGATTAGCGACAAATGCTTTTCCGTCCGGAAGGATGCGTTTGGTGTATATTGAATAGTAGGCAATATACATATACCTGGGTGAATGGTAATATGACTTTATATGCATCCTTACAAGAAGTTTAACAAAAATACAGACGTTCCTATGTGTGTGGTTTACACGCTATCATTTCAACGGTGAATTTGCCATTTTTTTTAGGCTCGTTTTGATTTCAGATATTGACATCCTGTCAGGCTTTTTTCACATCCGCACACCCTACTAAAATGGATTTTGGAACACTCCAATGGCTGACATGTTGTCAACTGTGTGTAGATAGCTGAGAGTTTAGGGCTTTGCACCTTTTGACATACATTAAGTATCAAAAGAAGTATCACAGTCTTTCAGATGTCCTGCGCTTTCACAGCAGCTTATGCACCTCACGTGTTGTCGTTCAGGGTTTGAAGATAGCACGTCCCAGGCTGCTTACCAGCTAGTTCCGGCGCTGGATGTATAAAAAGGAGGGTTTTAATTGCGAATGTCATGCATGCTGACGACATAAATGCATCTACACATCCTAAATATATTCAGATTTCAAGTACACACTGTCTCTTGATTCATGTAACGTTTACTAATATAGAGCAAAGTATGACCCGCTACTTCGCGTGTGAGCTGTATTGCGAGGTGCCGCTCAAGCGGTGTCGGCGGCACGTAACGAGCCGTGTGTTTGTTCTGTCTCGTCACCAGCCCAATGGGACGCAAGTTTCGCTCGCAGAACGAGGTGCGCAGGTACCTGGAGCAGATTGGCAGCGAGCTCTGCCCCGACCTCTTCTCCTTCAACCCGTACGCGCAGGCGGGTACGCCCGGCGGACGCCGTCGCACCCCGGCCGCTGCCGCCGTCAACCCCAAGCTCCCAGTCGCCAAGCCGAAGGTGTCCATCGCCAAGCCCAAGGTGTCTGTCACCAAGCTGACCGCAAAGAAGGTGCTGGAGCGCGGCAAAGCGGTGAAAGCGAGGCGCGGCCGGCCGCCCGGCTCTGGCGCCGGCGCCGGCGCCGACGCCAAGCCCAAAATGAAGCTCAAGTTTGACTTTGCGAAGCGGCGCGGGCCGGTGCCGGGCGGCACGCGCCGGCCGGTGGGGCGGCCGCCGGGGCGGCCACCGGGGCCGCGCGCTATCAAGCCGCCGCCGCCGCCGGCGCCGGCGCCGCCCGCACCCAGACCGACGCCGCCCGCACCCAGGGCAGAACCGCCTGCACCCAAAGCGACACCGCCCGCACCCAAACCCACACCGCCCGCAACCAAACCGCGGCCGCCTGCCCAACGACCGACACCCACCGTGCACAGGCAGGGGACGCCGGGACGCAAGCCGGGAACCCGGCCGCCGGCCTCGTCAGCTGCCGCACACAAGGGTGGGTATGGCGCGAGCTGCACGCCGCGTGTCACGGTGCCGGCGCAGTGAGCGCATGTGGGCCTCACCGCACCCGCACCGTCTGGGGATTTTTTGCTTTTGTTTTTATTTGACTGACGACGCCAGTGACAATGAGAAGGACGTACGTCGCGTACATACGCGGTTGTCGTCGCCGCGACTATGGCGTGGCCGACTGGGGCGCTGTGATGGCCCTGACGGTGGTGCGCTCTGCCAGGCGTTTCGGCACCGACTCGCCGTCACTGGGTGCCGCCACAGTCGCCGTACGAACTGGTGCAGGAGAAGTACTTCAAGGACCCGTGGAAGCTGCTCATCGGCACCATCTTCCTCAGCAAGCCGTCAGGTCAGCACCGTCGACCGATGGTAGTTACCTCGCTCGCCGCGGGCGAGTTCTGTAGTCAGGCGTGCGGCTGTAGTGAGGTGTACATTGGTTGTGCGTCGCGTCGGTCCGTCCAGTCGACACAGCCAGGCGGTCGTGGTGAATCATGCGATGTCTTGCACAATGTTTCCCGATGCTGACACAGACGTGGCCTTCGTGACGCTAGCCTGACGTTGGTTGGATGACGTGCCGTGCTGGAGCGAAGTGGCTCCGGCCAGCCCTGACTTTCTGTTGTGGCACGTACTCTGTGGCCTTTGCCACGAGCTTCCATCAGAGGCGCGTCTGTTCTGAGATCAGCTCAGTAGAGCTGGCCAGGGCGAGCCTGGTTGCTGCTCCAGAAGCTCTCGTAAGGGAGGATGGGCTCGTGTGGGGACGCCACGCTGAGGAGCCCGGCAGGCGGACGCCTCTCCATCGGGAGAGTGCGACACGTGGCGTAATTACACGCCTACCATTTGGCACATCGGTGGCCCAAAGGTGGCCTGGAGACGGCTGCTTGCTTGCCATACTGCAACGGTGCTGCGGGACGCTCCTCCAGCCGGGCTAGCCGATCTGCCTCCAGCACTGCAGGGCACCTCCCGAGCCTGTTATCGCAACGCGGGACACATTCGACTCACCTCGCTCGCTGGCGTTGTTTGTAGTTAGGGTGTTTATACGTAATGCATGCTCCGTTATTCACTGGCTTATTTATCTGTCACTGTTTTATGTTGTCCAAGCGGGGTAGAAAAGACGCGGAATCGCGTCACGCGGTTTAGTACGAAAAGACCCCTGGGCCCACGTTGGGACGTCTAGCAGTCGCGAATAACCAGGCGACACGCATTACATTAGAAAGAAGCGATGGGTGGGAAGCAATGTGATACCATCAAACCATTACCTCAAAGCACAATTGCTTGGCGTCGTACGTTTATGTAGTGATGCCAGTGTTATTGGCCGATGCACATGCCGAGCGGCGGCGAACGTCGGTGGCCGTCCCACCGCCCGGGCAGCCGCCGCGAGCTTCGACGCGCCGTGCCGTGCGCCGCAGACGCGTCGCCCGATGACGTGTGGGGCGACCCGCCGCCGGTGCTGGAGTGCCGCCGCGCCCGACCGCTGCTCGAGGCGTTCTTCCAGCGGTGGCCGACGGCGAAGGCGGCGCGCGCCGCCGCGCCGGCTGAGGTGCAGCAGGTGATCGAGCCGCTTCAGCTGGGAGACCAGGCCGCCCAGCTGATCATCAGGTTCTCAGGTGCGCATGCGCCGCTTGCTGTGCGACGTCTGGCCGGATCGTACGGCGGCAGGAGGGTTGGGATGTAATGATGCTCACCCCTGGTACCCTCGCGCTGTTGTGCACTGCTAGGGCTGTGCATAATGTGTGTGCACCAGCTGGCTGATCACGTTCACTGACCAAGCTGCAGGGCCATGCTGTAAATCCAAAACCCTGACTTAAGCCAGTAACTCTTGCTATTGGCTTAGTAAGCCCTTTGAAATGGTCCCATCTATTGGTGGTGTTGTCGCGTGGTGGACGTCAGTGGTTCAAGCGTGGCCTTCTAGAGCCGCCGTGACCTGGTGCCGCATTGTATCAGCTGACTCTCTTGGCAGACAAGCGTGGCCTTCTAGAGGCGCCGTGACCTGGTGCCGCATTGTATCAGCTGACTCTCTTGGCAGACGATTATGTCTCCAAGAAGTGGAAGTCGCCGCGGGAGCTGCACGGCATCGGGCGGTACGGCAGCGACGCCTATAAGATCTTCTGCCTGGGCCAGTGGAAGCAGGTGCGACCGCTCGACCACATGCTCAACCTGTACCACAACTGGCTGTGGACCAACTACAAAGCGCTGCGGCTAGACTGAGGGCCGGCCGCTTTTTGCCGCAGCTGGACTGAGGGCCGGCCGCTGTGCGCGGCGGCTGGAGGCGCCCACCCGCTGGCCGCCGCGGTCCGTGCGCAGGCGCCGTTCAGCGCTTTTACTCCGATGATTTTACCGGGCGGACATGGAACGAGCGGCGCTATGCGTCCTGTTGGGCGCATGCTGCGGTAGCGCGGTCGCCGCGGTCCCCCTGTTGGTGCGCCAGAACGATCATCTCTGCCCATCGTCACGCACCTGCCGTCTACTGCCTGTGGTGGGGCCCGTGATCTCGCGTCTGACCGGCAGCATGTGCAGAACAATACACTGCGAGTTCATGCATATCACAGGTGCATCGGTCGGAGCGTGTGGAGGTAAGACGAAAACGACACCTTTTTAGGGAGCAGGGCACATTTTCACATGGATTTCAAGTTTGGGTACCGGTGCGTTTTTGTAAGGAGTATCAGCAAAGTTGTTTCATGCTTGGAAATGTCAGTATGGATGGCTGAATAAGCTGGGAAACAAGGGACATTGTGGCGACTTTCCGGCGGCATAAGTCATGCGGAGATGTCTTCGCAGGTTTGGTGCGTCAGCGCCATAGCGCTAGCTCACAGCTAACGCGGCGAGTTACTTGGTTACGTGATCACTTGGAAGTTACTTGGTTACTTGGCCAGTTACGACTCACTAATATACTTGAGAGCAGGGAGGAATAGACTGGTCATACAGCTTCCATCGCGACAGTCACCGCTCGTGAGGCGCCTGCCAGCCGGGCTCCGGGGGTGGGGGAGGGGGGTATACTGCACGCTCACTGCGTGGTCATGAAGCGCCCATTACAATTGTCATGTACAAACGTGATGCCGGCCGCGCGTTCTCGGGGAGCGATGTAGCTACGCAGTTCTCTGCCTGTCAGCTCTACGTGCAGTCGCCTCGCTTTTTAACCTGGGGGCCAAGCAGTGCGAGATCAAACGATCGTGAAGACACGGTCAAACTAGTGTCAGCATGTCAGGCTGGGAAAGGCATGATTGTGTAATCATTGGTCGTGTCTAGCTTTTGGACCGCAAGCGTACAAGGAAATGAAGCTTAGGTTTTCCCACGATGACCACCTTTGCCTCCGCCTGTTATAGTCAATACCCTGCCCCGTGGTCCTAGCCAGGGTCTAGTAACGCGGGCGGCAGGTTCACATTAGCCAAGCGTTGTTTGTCGGCTTACGTGTAAACGTTGAGGGCCAAAAAGAAAATACTAACCAGTCAGTTGCCTTGAGCACGTGTCTTCCAGCGGGCACAAACTGCTTTCCGTCTCCGCGCACTGATGAGGCACCGCGTGTGGACTACCGACCCGTCGCTGACACGCGACACAGATGCAGCGTTGGAACATCTAGTGGACTCAGAAGCGGCCATTCTGAGAGGCTGTTAGTCCTTTGAGTCCTGGGATGAGGATGGTGCTCAGCTCCACACAGACATGGGTTCTCATCCGCCGAGGTTGTCCGGTACATAGTTACTGTACAAATTTGGTATACAATGGCTGGTTTGAACAGCCTAGGGCTGAATAGTGAATGTGTTGCCAGACAACTATAAATGATCCAAAAAATATATTTTCCCGATACATGATATACGAAGCATGTTACCGACACTTCAAACACAATAACAAGACAGGCGGACGCCGTGTCCGCTCCCAGGAGCTGCATTCGCGCGGGCGCGGCGCCCGGTGCTTCCTACATAATACGCGCTGTTCTATGATGACATTACGACAGAGCGTCCCAAGCGGCGCACCTGTCTAATTTGCATCCGCACTGCGCTTGGCAAGGATATGGCTGGCTGGAAAGCTTGCGTGCGATTGGCTGGCACTGCTACGCATGATCGTCTTGGCTGCCGAAAGGCATTGTAGGCCTGACACCCCGCCGTGGCAGGTATTTCACCCAGATATGTCGCGCGATGCTATCAGGTTTCGGAGCTGTTTCCATGTAAACAGAAATGCGGAACGTCGTCGCACCAATGCATACATGCGCATTCAATACCGAGTCTGAACTCAGCACTGAATCTCAATACTCTATCGCTTGGATGTGAATGAGTGACACCCTGGAGCGCGATTGCATGCCTACACCAATACACAGGATGTCGGCTATCAACAGGCAGTATGTTCGCTAGCAATACGCATTATATCTTACATCAATGCGCAGACTGGTATCGCACGGCAGGCACGACTGTGAGTCTATTTTTGCCATTTTGAACAAATTTGATTTCGAACTAAAACCACGCATCGAGCTCTAAAATGCCCCAACACGGGTATTTTGTATCCGCGCGGCACCCACACATGACAAACCAGACATACGAAAACCAGACCGCCGCTACCACCATTTCATGCGCAGGCCTGCCCCACGTCACAACGCTCCAGGAAGTCCAAGGCACGCGCGGGAGCCCGCAGCTGCCCAGGCGCCTCCAACAGCTACCCAACATGACCGAGACCTGTGTCTCTCGTGGGTGAGGGTGACCAGCCCTGCGGCGGTCCCCAGGCGGGCGTCACGACACGTGTGCACGCACAGCCACGGCGCGGACGAGCGGGCCCTCGCGCACGGACTAGCGAGGCCCTGGCACTGGCCTGTGCCGGCAACCAGTCGTGCTTAGAAGCATGACTGCCCGTGGTGAGGCGCATTATCGCTGGAAAAAGCCTCCAGAAAGCCGACAGACGCTATGTCATACTGGTATACGCACGCCAGTTCACAAAGATGGCAGCAGAGCATACACCACCAATAAGTTACTTGAGTCCCACCAGCCAAAGGGCACCTGGTTTGCAATTTTGAGCTAGTGACACCTGATGTGTGGCTTGCTATGCCCTTGTAAAAACACACGCTTATGAGACAAGACCCTTTCGAGAAAAATGTGGAAGAAAAGAGGACAGCCAAATGAAGTCTTTAGTCTACAACACAAAAAGTGAAGCTCATGGAATGACCACATTCTTAAATTCGCAAGGCACGTCTCACCGGATCATACATCCCGACACACGGCGCATGGTTCATGCCGACCTGGAAGCAAAAGATCACAATGTCCCCGCTTGCCTGGCCGCTGGGACCCGGTACCGCACTATCAGTCGCACACGCACAAAGCACGGACACCTGAGCTAAACCTACAGCGAACTGGCCCTGTCTTTGGAGCTGACCTATCTACACGCCGCGCACAGCGAAATCCTGACCCTAAACCAGGTACAACACGGCAACCCTTCCCTCGACGCTGAGCCTGGCCACGGACAAAATCCGAAAGACCCTATATATCACATCAACACTCGAGAATATGGACAAAGAATGCGTGCACCGACTGAAGCGTGCCGGCGCGCCGGTGGCGGTGGCGTGGTCGGCCGCCGCTGGCGCGCCGGTCACCGGCGGCGGCAGAGGTCAGAGGCAGCACTTCTTCTGCTGTCCGCCGGTGCCGAGCCGCAGTGACTGGCGGCCGCCGCCGGCGCGCGCCTCGCCGAACCGTCGGATCGCGTCCGCCGCGCAGTCGTTGAAGATACGGTCGAACACCTCCACTGTCGGACGGCCAGGGCTCGGATCAGCCACGCGCACCCCGCCAGCGGCGCCGGTCACCGCTCGGAGCCAGGGTCAGGGTTCAGGTCAACGGAGCATGCCAGGCCCGCTCCCCGCCAGTGGCGCCGTTCACCGCTCGGAGCCAGGGTCAGGGGTCAGGTCAACGGAACATGCAAGTCCCGCTCCCCGCCAGCGGCGCCGGTGACCGCTCGGAGCCAGGATCAGGGGTCAGGTCAACGGAACATGCCAGTCCCGCTCCCCGCCAGTGGCGCCGGTGACCGCTCGGAGCCAGGGTCAGGAGCCAGGTCAACGGAACATACCAGTTCCACTCCCCACAAGCGGTACATGCGGCTGACCGGGCTCAGAGAATAGCACCGGGTCAATCGTCAGGTCCATGGCACCGTTCCATATCAGCGGCAGTCGTGTCGCCGAGCTTGTCGCGCAATGACCCACTCTAGCGGGGGTCTGCTCTCTGTCCCACACGAGGCCAGTGCCAAGGTCTCGCGGGATTATTTGTGTCACAGAACGTGAACGCATCGTCCATCTTGTGATGGCCACGGAGCGTCATTTTGATCACCGGAACACGACACCAGTCGTCTGTAAGCACGTGCGTTAGACGGGGAGCTTCCTCACTGTATTCAAGATTTCATGTCGAAATGGAATGCCAACGGAATGACACACAGTGCGGGCGGAAATACACGTCGGCGCCAAAACACAACCGCCGCGGTCCGTTGTATGACGGCCATGGCGATGAAAACCGTTCGCCATGATGTCCAAGTGAGAAGATACGACGACGGCTGCCCGGTGGCGAGCACGAGCGGGGCGAACCGCCGTCGGAGCGGCGCGGCCGCGTCACTCACCGACGTTGTAGCCCGTCAGTGACGACGTCTCGAGCACGCAGGTGGCGCGCACGGAGTCGGCGTAGTCGACGGCGTCGTGGTAGTCCACCTGACGCGCGGCCCGGCCCTGCTTCTGAATTATGTCCAGCTTCGTCCCCACCAAGTATATCCGACATCCCTGCGTGGCGGCGTCGCCGGCGTTAACACCGACGGCGTCACCACACCACGTCTACCTCCTTGTTTCAAACCTTTTGGCGCTGGACATTTGGCCGTCTGTAGCGGCTTTCCCTGGTGATGCGAATATGCCCCGAGATGACGACATTTAGACATGTATTTGCCTGCGCGTCACAATCAAAGTTTGTGAAATCACAGCTCTTGAATGTTTCACCACAGACAGATGCTATGTTATTCCCACCATGCTTTCTCAGCAAACAAAAACCCGGCTATCAGCTGACACAAAGAGCCACCACCGGTATCCTCACAACACATCGGTGTGTTCCATACAGCAATGTGTGTTTAAACGAGCTCATTGAGTATGCCCAAAGACAGCGTTGTATAGGATCAAACTATCGATGTGCAGCACCCAAGTGCCAAATGGCTGATAACGTTCTTCTGAGTCAGCTAAACTTCAATACTATATTTCGTTCCGTTTCCATGAAACGAAATAGCCTGTTATATAGCCTGAAGTAGTCTACCGACCCCAAACGCTTATATTACTCACGTCAAGAAATTGACAAAAATTTCGAGCGCATTGAAATTTGGAGAGCATTTAAGACTTGAATCCCGTGGCCAATGCAAAACGAGTGCTGGAAAATCTCGCATTTCCCATGCAATTACTGAACATTTCTATTCAGTACCGATTTCGGAATTTCTCCCCGATGACATACACGATTGGGCATGCGAGGGTCGTCAAAAGGGCAACTTAGCCCTTTACCCATTTACAGAAAATTATACAACTGATCGGCTTAGTGAGATATATTTACACAATGCCGTTTGGCTGGTGTGTGTGTGTGTGTGTGTGTGTGTGTGTGTGTGTGTGTGTGTGTGTGTGTGTGTGTGTGTGTGTGTGTGTGTGTGTGTGTGTGTGTGTGTGTGTGTGCGTGCGTGCGTGCGTGCGTGCGTGCGTGCGTGCGTGCGTGCGTGCGTGCGTGCGTGCGTGCGCGTGCGTGTGCGTGCGTGTGCGCGCGCATGCGCGCGTGCTTGCGTGCGCATGCACGCGTGCGTGTACATGCGTGCGTGCGTACGCGTGCGTGCGCGTGTGTGTGAAATGATCTGCATATGGTATTTCCCGACTCGTACAAACAGGTGAAGCCGTAAGGCAGCCGACCGACTCAATGGCGTGAGGACATATGGAGCACATCACGTACCCCATGGTGAAATACGCTTCGCAAAACTCTACAGTCCATATGGCGAATGAGTGCCTAGAGCAGCAAGACATCAATCAGGAACCACGTGAAATGCAACCCTACATTCGGAACGTTTCACATGAATCTGGCTTCGACCCAGTGATGACAATGCGGGCGATGTCGTGTGTGTCATTGGGGCTTTACGATGCACTCAGCTGCTGAGGCCATGTGGCGTCGCCTGCCTCTCACCCTGGCAGGAAGGGTAGGCATTGCGGGAAATAGAACTCCGTACCTCTGGTTTCTCATACGCACAATATGGGCGATGTCGTGCACGTTTCAGTTGATCAACAAGATGAACTTGAAAGACGCCCAATGTTAATGCGTAAACAAAACATCCTTGATGTAGGCAAACGGACCTGACATTTGATAAATGCGAAGGCGAGTAACTGCACAACTACACGAGCTGTACCTCCCACGGCCTGGCTGGTCGATCGAAGTCCCACAGAGCAAGCCGCGGAAGGAACTGGCGAGATCGAACTAACGCGGCACAGTGCCTTTGCCCATCCATGTAATCGGCAGGTCATATTTTGTACGTGTTTCACCCTACCAGGCCCATAACGGTGTTGTCTAGCATGATGTTCCAATCGTTAAAGACGAGATGGACGTACAAAGGACAGGGCATATATATATATATATATATATATATATATATATATATATATATATATATATATGCTCTAGACAAGCTAATACTCCATCTAAATGCGTCAGGTGTGATTCCGACCTCCTCCAAAGGCGTCAAATGTGTGCGATGTCGGTCACTTGGTATGCCAAATACCGTTTACAGGAAGCACATAAAAGCATCCCGACATAGAAGTCCTATATCGCCCCAAAACCCTACCTCGACGCGCAGTTTGATCTCATCGACGTATTTCTTGGCCTTCTCCCAGTGGGCGGCGTTGGTGAGATCGTAGCAGACGACGGCCGCCGTCGACTCACGCATGTACAGTGGCAGCCAGCTCTCGTACCTAGACAGGTCACATGGCCGTCAGGACGCCAACAGCACGCTCACGGCAGGGCTCGGCCTAACATGGCCACACAAGACTGGGTCAGAGCGGACGCTAGCCATCATCTCGGGACTTCAAGCTGAGCGACGAGACACCTCGTTCGCGCGCTTCGGTCTCAAGCAAAGGACACCAGTTTGTAACTTTACAATGGACTCTTGAGGTAGCCTGAATCTTGGACAGCTTGGTTTGCACAATAACATTACAGTTGATGTTGTGAAGTGTGTTGCCAAGAAGTGTGTACACAAAAAATGTGTGAGTAGCATTGTGCTCATAATGCACAGAAGAGCAACACAAAAAAAGATGTAAAGGTACCTTATGCTCATAACAGTAATGCCCAAATGCCCAACTTTTGGTTTTTGGCACCCTTTCATCATTATGAGCAAAGGGTGACTAACATGCTTCTTAATCTCGCAAACATTGCGGGAATACATTTCTGACATGATAGTGAGATATTCCTTCTGACAACCACTGTTGATACAAAAACACCTGGCAACACTGCTCAGTGAACATCATCCAGTTAAAATCACCTTTCTGAACCAGCTGTGTCCCAGATCTCAAATTTCACCTTGTCATTTTTGTGGAACCGATATTCAGCACCATATGCCGCGCCCACAGTCTGAAACACGCAACACATTTTACGACTGCAATCGCCGACCACATTCAGACAATCTATACCAAAGATGAGTGAATTTTCCCATTGAACTGCACACCATGGCAAGCTGCTGACATGTGTCTGGAGACCCCCAATGTAATCACAGGATCCAATTAACATGCCCCCTGTGGGACATTGTCCCAGCCATGGGGTCCAGACACATGTCTGAAGGCAAAAATTACAACATGCAAAACTTAAACAACCAGTAGAGCACAAACATCCAACTAACAAACCCAGGATGCCAGAGAAACAGGTGCTTAGTCTTGGGTTACCAGAGACACATTTCCCCCTTCACTTTTTCCAGCATAACTGATTAGCACAGCAACTCCTCAAAGCTTCCAGTAGCTGTGGAGCACAATGGCCATGAGTCAGGTGGACTACATCATGCAAGGCCAGGTAAAAAGGCATCAATTCTTGCTGCGCTTCAGAACAAAATAGATCTCAGCCCAGAGTGTTTTGTTTTACAAAGTGAGCTGGGATCTGAGCCATACTGAATGAGTGTGGTTTTACAAAGTGAGCTGGGATCTGAGCCATACTGAATGAGTGTGGTTTTACAAAGTGAGCTGGGATCTGAGCCATACTGAATGAGTGTGGTTTTACAAAGTGAGCTGGGATCTGAGCCATACCGAATGAGTGTGGTTTTACAAAGTGAGCTGGGATCTGAGCCATACCGAATGAGTGTGGTTTTACAAAGTGAGCTGGGATCTGAGCCATACCGAATGAGTGTGGTTTTACAAAGTGAGCTGGGATCTGAGCCATACCGAATATGAAACCTGTCTCCATAAGTTGCCAACAAACAGGTTTCCCTGATTTGGCCTACTTTCTCTTAAAGCTGAGGGGGAGCTGAAGCCTCTCCCTCTGAATAGCAACTAACACCCTCAACATGAAATATTTTTTCCTGTTGGCAGCAAGTACCACATGCTCTTGTTAATACTCTGCTGGAAAAGGAGTTGATAGATACAATCAAAACAATTTGGCAGTAGGCACCAACAATGCCTCCACATTCAGACACCAATTTCAGGTGTGAAGGTCTCCATTGCTTCCACTTCCTATTTGTGGGTTGCTTAATTGTGATCTTACTCTACACACTGAGCCAATGAATGTTTGCTGACAGTTTTAGCCTGCATACCTTGGATCTCTCCACTGGTTTGTCATGCACATTACTGGAATAATGATTCATAATACCCAACACTGACTAGATCTATACAATCTGGGCATTGCAATCTGTAGTGAAGCCAATCAGAGAGAGAGAGTGTGATTATCAGGATGCTCTTTGGCTTAGCCAGTGCAGGAATGGGCCAATTCAGCAAGAACAGCATGGCCTCAACAAAGACATTGTTGAATGAACCAATAAGAGTACTGAATGCCCAAAAAGTGGAAAGCACAGCATTAGGTCTGATTTGCAGTTTAAGGCAGGAGGTTTGGACACTAAGCTTCTTGGTCAGGTTAGTGAAGGATCTGAGGGACCAGTTTGACATGCTTCTACACCATGCTCTTGAAAATTCCCTATTGGGCCTATGTCATTGACAATATCCTGGATGCCACTACAAAGTTGACCTGGTTTGCATACAGGCCACCCAGTGGAATTTTGACAATGAAACCCAGAACCACCAGTCACTGGTCTTCCTTACCATATTCCTGGACCTGTATTGTGGTCCAAACACTCCAACTCTGATCACACTGCATAGAAGGGTGGTTATTTTCATGGAGCCTTGGCAAGTATACTTAACCAAAGTTTCTGCTATCACCTGGTTTATTGGAAACACACACAGGGTTCTTCACAAAATCAAGCAGGATTTTTGGGTCTGACATCCATCTTTAAATAATTCAGTTTTTGATCAAGCTTGGCCAGTCAGCAGCCTCCAATGACATGATAGCACACATCAGATGTCAGATAATAAATAAATAAGATTACTAGATAATCCTCTCATAAATCATACCGGATCACATAAATCCAAATCCGAATGATGCCAATGTGGTCAGAGCTGAATATAATGCCATATATCACCCACTAATTAATCATGATCACAAGCATGACCTGTGAAGCCACAGGAATATTGTCAACAGCATTGGCACAACTGAGATGCTGGCATGCCCTAGTTAATGTCATGCCAGGCTGCACAAATATGTATCATTTTATATGCATGGTGTCACACCAATAACTGAGCAAAAGTCATGTCAGCCAGATAGTCAGAAGTCATAGCCAAGTGCCCAAAATTTGATGCGCAGCCACTAATGAGGTAGCACTTGTGTTTCAAGGAACTACAATGATATAGTAATGATTTCATGCAGAAAGCCTGCTATACCAAAAAATATTGTATTGAGGCAAAAGATGGTTCAAGTTCAGCATAATTTAGCCTGCACCATGTTCAATGCATACATGGCCCAGAGTTAGCAAACCATGTTAATTATATGCAGAGCACACTCCATGAAAATTTTGCAGATGATGGTATGGTGATCATATCTGATGCTGTGAAGCATTTAATGCTATTGCAAATTATAATCAGCCTTTAAACCATGAAGATAAATGATGCAACAGTCTTCTATTATTGCATTATAATGTACATAAGGTTTACAGCCCCAATCTAAAAAAATCCATCTACTGCACCTGACTATTATGTGCCAAAAAAGTTCTGAGCCTCTTGCATGCACTGAACTCAGACCAACTTGTGCTTAATTTTCCCATGCTTCTATCATGAAGAGATGTTAATTTGAGTTTTGATTTTTGAAATTTTGCACAGCACTTTAGCCTGATATTACATCTGAAGCATTACCATTCCCTGAAATAGTAGCTCTCCATGTACTGAACTTACCTTCAACAATGAATCTAACTTGCTGAATATGTTCAGTGTATCATGTATTTTTTGCAGCCTAGGTTCCAAATGACTGGTTTGTCTCCAAAGCATGTCAAGGAAAGCATCACATAAATCGTAAACAAATATAGCAGTATCCGGGTTAATAACCAAGCACAATTGATATGGCCTTCTCAAGGCATAACAGATAACATTTAGGCTGATGTTACAAATACTATACATTTAAGTGAATTTCATGCCATACATCATCAAGACTTTACAATGAGCTTCTACAAACTTAATGCAAAGTTGAACAATATACTTACATTAGAGTTTGAAGTCGGAAAACTTTTGTGCAGATACCTCGTGCACAAACATGTCTTCCCCGCAAATGCCTTGCCCACCATGACAACTTTTATCGTTGGGCATGCCGCCGCCATTACAATCAAAGCTCAGTTCACAGGAATGCAACAAAAATAGTAACGCGGCTGTTGTGCTAACAACTCAGTTAAAGCCCAAGACTGAAAATTATGAACTCCTCGGTCCAGCGCCCCACACCCTCCCCTCTCATGGAGTACCACTTCTGTTGCATATGATGAACCACGGTTGCGAATATACGCGTCGCTGCCCCAAGCTATGTTGAAATTGAGTGTACGCTGATCAGCTGACTACATAATATGACGTCATGCTAAAGTTTTAGGGAAAATTTTGTGGCGCTTTTCGCTGATGCTTCTCGTCAGCCGTCATAGATTTAGCGCCACCAAAAAAGTTTAAAATGCAGCAGTAGCAAAAAACTCGCATTATGCATACGAAAGAGCTGGAACGCCTCTACTCTGTATGTTCCTGTACTCAAAAATCTGCTTAGCTCATCGAATCAAGTATAATATCTAGATGCGAGACACTTGGAAAGTATATGCAAAGACATGACAAATATCTGTATGCTACGTTTTCAGCTATCTTTGCTTATTTTTATTCCTGCATTCATGGCAACTCGGTTTGTCATCTCTTGATGTTCAGAGCAGTTCTTTTGAAGCATTTTTGGTGCTACCGGCATTAATTCTGGGATAGCAGGCGATATCACGGATTGCCTTTGTCCATTGCCTTGATTGTGCATGAGTGGGCCGCAGGCTTGCCGTTTGTAGTTCGCCAGTTTGAGTTAGTCATGCTCATCCGCTAAGTTCATGCGTCTGTCAAGGCGAGGTCGCCATTATAAGCGGCACGGCGTTGTTAGGTTGTGCCAGGGATTACGTGGAATTAAGGGCGTTTTTCGCTGTTCCCGCTACGAATAGGAAAAGGCCTAATGGGCGTGTTATTGAACAACAGCTTACTTTAGCAATAAAATAGTTGTTAATTTAAGCTGCCTGGCGGCGGCGTAGTGAGAGGATACGGAAGAACTAAGATCCACGAAATGCTCGATGGAAATGCAGCCACTGCCCTCAAGATTTCCCTCCTGCTTCTGGCATGTATTGTGATACAAGCAGGTAAGACCAGAAATCCAGATTGCCAAAAAATGTGTTGCTGGGCATGTTGACCATAGGAGCAATGTGCTGGAAATAATTTCAGGATGTGCATGCCTTTAATCGAAGAGTGTGGAATTCATTGTGTGGTTAACTCAGGCTCAGCACAATAACATCTCATAGGTGGCTAGCGCCATGGATGAATTGTGTTGCGGGCTGGCCATTAGCTGGGTATATCCATGCATACACAGGTCAGTACCATGGGATGTTTTGGTCTACCTTTCCAAAATTTGGGAATCCTGCAAAAAGTGTGTGTGGAAGGCAATGAGAATGCCTATTTTTCATTTTGGAAATAATCCCATCAATTATGGTCACATAGGGGTACCATGTTTGGTGTCATGAACCAAGTCAAGTCTGATGCTGCAGTTACAATGCTGCACTGCCCACTCATTCTATTGACTGGTCTATGACGTATTTGGGTGAAATGTTGCAGAACCTGATGGGCTTGAAAATTTGTAACACTCAAGAAGAAATTCTTGAGTGTTACAAATTTATCATTGGGTCTCACATTTTTAGAGATTAGATTATGTTGGCTAATTGAGAAATGGGAGGTCAGCAAGTAGTGAAGGAATTTTTCAATGCTTGTCCCTGTCATTAAATCTTGTTTCAACTAATTTCTTTAGTGTCATTATCTCAGTCTAGGTTGCAGGATGTTCTGGTAATTATCCTAGCTCTTGCCTGACTGATACTTGAAAATGTTCAAACTGGAGAAAGTCACCACTTCAGCTGGGAGTCCCTATTCTGCCAATGGATGATCAGCAGCAGAAGTGTGTCACCAATGGGAGTTTAGTCTGAGTTGTCTTATGTTTGGTTAGTGACTGTATATCTGTTTGGAGCAACCATTCACACAGCTCAGCTGTTCTCACTCTTAAGTGTCCAGACATGACCTGATAAACCATGATCATATCCCCTCTCAATATTCTGCAGTACAAGCCTAGAAATTTCAGGATGTGAAAGACCAAAATGTTGAAAAATATATATTAGGCCATGCTAAGTTGGTACTAAAATTCATAGTAAATTTTTTGCTGCTACTCTAGCAGAAAGTTACTTGCAAACTAGTCACTGTGATGTAGGTAATGGGTGGCTTTAGTGACTGGTGCTTGAAACAATACCACAGCCCCCTCAAGAAGTTGTAAGAACCATTTTAGATATCTGCACTTACATCAAACTCTACAGTTTTTCTCTCTTTATTTACCTTGCCAAAGCATAGCATGGAATGAGTGTTGCTCAGAGATGCTTATCAAAATCCTAGGACATAGTTTGAAGCATGGTTAGTTAGCTTTGGTCATGGTTAAAGTTACTAATGAACCATGGCTTATGCTGCATTCTCTTATGCCAAAAACATGCCAGATATCCAGGAAAATGATAATGTGCCTTTGGAATTAGCACCTACAACTGTGTCTAAGCAACATTGATCCATAATATTCAAGTGGCAAGTCCTAACTGATCACAGCTTGATCTTGATGTTGAATGGCAAAGACAGGCTCTCTCCACTCCAGCTTGTGCTTGCTTTGAGCAGGATTCACCCAAATGAGAAGGGACATGTCCAGCATGTGGCTCAGGGATTGGTGGCTGTTCATAACACAAGAGGGGTCAAGGGTCTTTGAAGGCACTGTTGAAGGGCTGGAGTGCTTGTATGCTTTGGTTGCATTAATTGAACCTTACATATAAAGTCCTACAGTTGAGCTGGAGTGCTTGTAAGGGCTGGAGTGCTTGTATGCTTTGGTTGCATTAATTGAACCTTACATATAAAGTCCTACAGTTTTCCATGCATTTTAGGCATGGAAACTTGCTGGGAACTTGTGAATAAGATTGCATAGATGTAATCCAGAAATTCACAAATATGGTTTAATTACACTAACACAATAGATACCAGGGAAGTTGTGCCAAGTTTTCACAGTGAAAACTTACAACCTCAGTCATATGTAATGCAAAGTTGCAATGTTCTTGGCCAAATTTCCCACAAGAAGAAAATAAGCTTCAAGTTGCACCATCATTGTCTTTCAACAACTTTTGAACTTTGTATTAACTGAGAAGCATTGCATGTATACATCTTGGTCCAAGGCAGAGAGAAGCCATGCATATAATAACTGATATCCTGGATTTTTATGAGGTGGTGGTTTGCTTGGGCTGTGGACACAGATGACATTTAGTTTTCCATGATATGCATTTTGTCAATTTGGACATTGCAAGTGAGGTAGGTTGGGCTAAAAACACCAGGCGAGCTGATGCTGTTGGTCAGATTTTTCCAATACTGTGCCATGCTGTTATTACCACTGTAGCACTTGCAGAGAGTATCACTCTGGTGTTTACCTTCATCTTTATCTGTTAATGTTGTTTATAGAATAGATGTGTCTGGCTGGGATTTTAAAGTCTAGTCTTCTGGAAGCAGTCTTTATTAACTCAGATTCCATCTTCATGGCAGCCAATGAGACTAAACTATTAGTCTAAATATCAGATCCTGCCCATCACTATCATAAGTATATGTCGGTCAATATAATTAACTTGATATATTAGCCATATCTGCAAAACATTTGTTGATCGGTCGATGTGACCATATTGCTTTTTAACCATGACCCATTTCATAATGTTCCGGTGTTGTCCCAGGCATGAAAGGTTGGGTTCGTGATGTTACTGTGTTTTCATCTGGAGCAACTCAGCCAGAACAGATTGTGGGTAATCTGGTTTTGGCCTCTCAAATGTCTGCCCTGGGGTGAATTGCTAGCAGCACCAGTCGGCGTGGCCACTGTGGTGGTGACGATGTGTGAAGTCACCTGCGGCTAGTTCGACCTTGACCGACGCTTTTAGACGCATGTGGCAATAGTATGGATTCGCTTGTCTCCATCCAAGGATTTGCCCTAGTGCACTTTCTGGTACCATTTACGTCGATGGTTTGTGCAGCACATTCACAGCAGAGGGTTTGGATGATGGCTTCAAAATAGCTTCCATCACGTCGAGCCGTTACAGTTGGCGTCAACTCCAAACTGTACGAGAAAGCGGCAGGAGACGGAACGCAGCAGTAGTGGGTTCCTGTCCGGGTCGTGCACATTGTTTGACTTGGCTATGACAGCGAGGTCAGCTGGCAGCTGGGTGGCAAGTGTCAACCGTGCACTCGACGGCAGTGCCGAGCCGTCGCATGGCACTGCATGGCAGTGCCGGGCCGTCGCATGGCACTGGACGGCAGCGCCGAGCCGCTGCATGGCACGATGGGGCATTCGTGCGCCGCCCAGCTCTGCGCGACAGACCGACGGCTGAGGCGGACGTCGTGCTACAAACCTACTGCTGCAGGAGTTCGATCCAGCACACGCACGTGACCCGCTCAAGGCCTATTATGGCCTTAAACCACCCATGCACACAGGTCCGCATCACTTCGCTGTTGCTGTAATGACGTAATGGTCCAGCGCAGCCTGTTCTCCGGAAAGTTCCCAAGGGAGAGGAGCCGTGACATTTATTAGGGTTACAAGAGGGGAAACAAGAACCGCGAGTACAGTTTTATGAGTGCTGAATACTTGAAAGAGCCCATCACTTCTCGTTCTCGTCAGCAAAATAATTGGATTCAGCAAACCGCGGAGTTCTTCGATCTTAATCGTTGCCAGAGCTCTCCGTCGCTGCTGTCGGCCATCTGGGTTGGCACCAAGCATCGACTAAAGCTCACATTGCGCCTAGTGCACAACTCAGAACACGTTGTGAGCTGGCGGGAGCGGGGGCGGCGGACGACGCGTGCTGCGGCATGATATGTGCCTGGTGACCGTGGGCCTGACCCGGGCTGGGCCGGCTCCAACTCAGCACGGCTCGCTGTGGGCCCGACCCGGGCTGGGCCGGCTCCAACTCAGCACGGCTCGCTGTGGGCCTGATTCGGGCTGGGCCGGCTCCATCTCCGCACGGCTCGCTGTGGACCTGACTCGGGCTTGGTCGGCTCCATCTCAGCACGGCTCGCTGTGGGCCTGACTCGGGCTGGGCCGGCTCCATCTCAGCACGGCTCGCTGTGGGCCTGACTCGGGCTGGGCCGGCTCCATCTCAGCACGGCTCGCTGTGGGCCTGACTCGGGCTGGGCCGGCTCCATCTCAGCACAGCTCGCTGTGGGCCTAACCCGAGCTTGGCCGGCTCCTTCTCAGCACGCCTCGCTGTGGGCCTGACTCGGGCTTGATCGGCTCCATCTCAGCACGGCTTGCTGTGGGCCTGACTCGGGCTTGGTCGGGTCCATCTCAGCACGGCTCGCTGTGGGCCTGCCTCGGGCTGAGCCGGCTCCATCTCAGCACGGCTCGCTGTGGACCTGACCCGGGCTTGGTCGGCTCCATCTCAGCACGGCTCGCTGTGGGCCTGACTCGGGCTTGGTCGGCTCCATCTCAGCACGGCTCGCTGTGGGCCTGACTCGGGCTGGGCCGGCTCCATCTCAGCACGGCTTGCTGTGGGCCTGACTCGGTCTTGGTCGGCTCCATCTCAGCACGGCTTGCCGCGCACAACACCGCCATGGTTTCTCAGGCCGTACTGGCGGGAAGTGTGGCAGACGGAACTTCACGCCTCACCGTATTGCATAAACACGTAAACCCGCCTTCACGTTCCGCGAGGCGCGTTTACGTGTTTATGCAATTTAAACAAGGGATCTAGCGCGCTGTTTGAGCATGTTGCTGTATGTATGTTATGAGAGCTGATCGATTGTGGATGGTTATGCGGTCCACCCAGTAGAGAGATGAAGGTTTTGCACTAGCTTAGCACGACCATGATGGGTGTCATGAAACGGGTGCCTGTGGCGGGCCACTGTTACGGCCCGTCCTTCGCGTGTTATCGTTCTGATTTATGGTGACCTGGCACAACTGCCAGCCTGGGTACGCACCGTGCACAGAGGACACACGGCAATCTGCACGATCAGTGGCGCGGTGAAGTGAGAAATGTTTGGCCGTTTCTGCTGGCTGTGGCACGAGGCTTGATGACTCATTCACTTCTGGGTTGTGAAACGTTGCCATTTGGGGCCGAAGGCGCTCGGTCTGTTGTGTCGTGGATGACAAAGCATCGTATGTGCTTTTGTCTGGTCTACTCTCAGTCTTCTTTCTTCCAGTTTGGCTGCAGCGGTGTGAGTGTATTGGTTGGAGGACGTCAATACAATCGTTTCTTTCAAGGTCAGATTTCAGGGGTCGAACATCTGAACTCCGCCATTTGGCTTCCGAGCTTTTCCGTTGGCCAGACCGCGGATCGGTGGCGCGACAGATGCGTGCCGGCCGCGCTCGCGCCGTATCCGCCCCCCGCTGCTGACGACCCGCTGCCGTCTGGTCCCGGGTCTGGCGCGGCCGGCGCCGGCTGGCCGCGCGGGGGCGCCCCTGCCCGCCCGCGGCCCGGCTGGCGGCGTGACGCGGCCCTGGTGACGTCACGTTCCGGCCGGCCGCGGCGAGGGCCGGTCCGGGAAGCCCGCCGGCCGCGGCGTCGGCGGGCTTCCGTTCCGAGCCGGCCGGCGGCCGACCGGTGCTGAGCCGCCTCGGCAGGCAGCGGCCCGCTCTGGGATCAGTCGGATCCTTCTGCATGTGTGCCGGCCGAGCACGCCGGCCGCGGCGTCGGCGGGCTTCCGTTCCCAGCCGGCCGGCGGCCGACCGGTGCTGAGCCGCCTGGTCGCGCAGCGGCCCGCTCTGGGATCAGTCGGATCTGTCTGTATGTGTGCCGGCCGAGCACGCGCTGGCCGCGGCAGGGAGCGCCGTTCACCAGCCCGGTGCCATGACAGCGCACGGTGCAGTACCGCCGGTCACTAGGCGCGGCGCTTAACAAATGCCGTCTCCATTATATACCCTCGCCGACTGCACACCGCCCTGGCTGTGTGCCCACATCATAGTCACGTGTTTTTGCAGCGTTTTGGCCAGTGGCGAAATATTCTCAGATACAGCGTTGCACTGTGTCCCGGTGTTGTTGTATTTCCTCCCAGCTGAGTGCAACCGAATTGTAGTCTCTAACCCTCTGAAGTCAATTCTGCCGAGCCGGGGTACACAGAATGGGAGGAAAACCTTGCAAACACGAGCCGCTGATCTCATGTCACTGACTCAGAGGAAGGCTGGCTCGATTGTCGACAGGCCCGCTGTGATATTTGTAAGGGTAGCTCTCCTTTTATCACGCAGCGGTTATCCCATTGAATATCTGAAATTCGCGTTCATAATTCCGTGTCATTTAAAATATACAAATAGCCAGCACAAACCCGCTATTCCCCCGTTATCAGACTTATCTTCGTGTCATGTCCTCGCATCCCATTCATTTGTATCTCAATTATTTGTACGCAAATATCCGCACTGCTCAGGTGTTCCATGTATCGGTATTATCTGCTCCGTTTTTTTTTTTTTGTACGTCGCGCTCGTCACCATGCTTTTTTGTTTTTGTCCCAAACCTTTTGTTTTCTATAGTTCGTTGGACCCTCCTATCACAAATCTGCGGATGCGAGTACGGAAATCTTATATAGCACGCTGCTTCATTTGACCTGTTCTTCATGCGGCAAAGCTTGGTGTGCGCAATTCTTTGTCAGACATTTTGGCGCGCTTCTCGATTCCCTCCTGGACAATTATACGCTTGCGCGGACCTCGTAATCTTAATTAATCCATGCTCAATTCGTTGACAAGCGATTCTTCGTATTGTCGATACTTTGTATCACATTTCTTCGTGCTCGTTCAACTTGAAGTTGCATTTTTACTCACGCAAACATTACATCATGTCGTACGCGAGACCGCTAACAATTGCCTACCATGTGAACATGATGCTTAGCGTGGATTTCCGGTCGTCTGACTAAAGCTGCATAAGTTCTGTTTCAATGCGCATGTTGCCCAGTGTCTCAGGCACTGTCGTGGCCAAGAGCGTTCTTCTTCGCCAGACGTCACCCGCCGGCCTGCTTGCCAGCCGGCGCCCGGCCGCGTCTCACCCGTGCGTCTCACCCGTCTCGCCTGTCGCCAGGGGACCGGCTGAGTGTGTATGTGCGGCACCACGAGCGGCTGGCGTACGGCCGGGCCGAGGTGGAGGCCCGCCACCAGCGCGTGCGCCGCAGCGCCGGCGGCGTGCCGCTGATACTCGAGTTCGGCGCGCTGGAGCGACACTTCCGCCTGCGGCTGCGGCGCGAGGCGCGTGTGTTCGCGGCCGACGCCGTGCTGGTGGGCCCGTCCGGCCGCTACGAGCCGCTGCACACCGACCACCTGTACGAGGGTCACTTGGAGGGTGAGTGACGGCCCGGGGCTGCCTCGGCTCGGCGGCCGGAGCCAGCAAGAGGGGACGGATGACAATGTGCGTGAGGTCGGAGTGTCGCAAGCGAGAGGCTTCTGGATTGCTGAGTGGGCAGTGTCTGGTTGCGAGAGTGATTTGAGCCTGGGTAGGGAGATGGGCGTGGTCTCGGTGGGATTAGCTGACTGGGACCGTGAATCCGGTCATACAGGGGTGTGAGGGGGGGGGGGGGGCTTCGGAATCGGAAATGCAGGGCAAGCCGGGGTGGTTATAAACACAAGACATTGTTTTCTGAATTTGCTTGATGTGATGAAAGCGTTTAACTAAACTTCTGATGTCACTAGTGTTAAGCGCGACAAAGCTCCGGCCTCGGCTCTGGAATGTGCACGCGTACTTCAGCAAGTAGATAATTGGCGGGTTGACAAAGGCAACTGTGCCACTGGCAGCATCTGTGGCAGCTGCATATATAACAGATGGGTTTATTCAAGGCACGAGTGCGCCCCAGGCAGCGTGCGCGGCAGCCAGCGGCGGTGCGTGCCCTGGCGGCGTGTGCGGTAGCCGCCGGTGGTGTGTGCCCCGGCAGCGTGTGCGGCAGCTGTCGATGGTGTGTGGCCCTGGCAGCGTGTGCGGCGGCTGTCGACGCTGTGTGGCCCTGGCAGCTGTCGGCGGTGTGTGGCCCTGGCAGCGTGTGCGGCAGCTGTCGGCGGTGTGCAGGCTGTGGAGGGCTGTGCCGTCGCCCCGCCTGACCGGGCCGTGCCCGCTCTGCCCGTCAGGTGTGCCGCACAGCTATGTGCACGGCTCGCTACACGACGGCGTATTCCAGGGCAAAATCGAGACGCCACAGGGCAACTATTACGTAGAGAAGGCCCATCACTACTATCCCCGTAACCTTTCATCATCGTTTCACTCTGTGATATACTCAGAAAATCATGTAGAGGACCCGTTTGAACACCTGCAGCGCGGCAGAGGTGAGCCTTTTTACTGACCAATTTATGTAGAGTCACCGATGCTATACAATGTATCATTATAAAGTCACTTAATTGCACAGTGATTTTGTGGACATCAAGATAAATGGTTGCTGCTATTTGTTTGCTATTTGTAATGTTTTTTATTGTGATCTTGTCATCTTGTTTGGTATAGGCGATACTAGTTCGTTAAGCAATTTGTTGGTGATGTATTATTTACATTGGAACAGTGCTTGCAGAAAAAAATGAACTGATGCTAGATGTCTTTTTGCTGAATTGCTGACTGATGACTGAATTCATCGAATAAAGGCTTCTGCTCCTACAAGTTGTTAAATATCCATGAGAGCAGTGTGATGGTGTTTGTCGCAAGGATTGTATTCGTAGTCGCCAGCCGTTTGCTCGGATGTGCTCAATTTAATATGATCTGATTGATTGTTTTCATTACGCATGCCATGTGCCATTATGCGGCGTTGGTGGCGACCGAGCTGACCGTCCGCCGCTGGTCAGGGCCGTTTGGAGGCTGCGGTGTAGACGGCGACGTGTCCGCCTGGATGAGCCTGGTTCAGAACTCGGCCATTGAGGACGACGACGAGCCGTTCGTGACCTCGGCCCAGGCGTCGAGGACCTCCGGTGCGGTGTCGCACGAGCAGCGCTACCACAAGTATACAGAGGTGAGCCGGGCGGGTGTGGCGCAGGGCACGGTTTCGTCTCAGATGACCAGCATTGATCTAGTACAGTGTCTCACCAGCAGAGACAGAACAAGAACACAGGGCCGCGTCTGTGCACTGTACACTGCACTGCGCTCCGGCTGTGCCGAAACGAGCCGTCGTCCAAATAGAGGGCGCCTCGTCTGCCGCGCCGAGGCGCTGGCCGGTGCCCTGTCTCCCTCAGTGTCCAGACGCGGCGGACGCCGTCCGGTGCCCTGTCTCCGTCAGTGTCCGGACGCGGCGGACGCCGTCCGGTGCCCTGTCTCTGTCAATGTCCGGACACAGCGGTCGGCGGCCGGGCGGCTGTGCCGCAGGGTGGCCGGCTGGTGGCCGTTGGTGCGCTGCACGTCCTGGCCAGGTTCTAGGCCGCTGTACAGGCGCTCTAGGCGGCGACCTCCGGCGCCCGGCCCTGCCGATGCTGCTTGGTGGATGGAGAACAGCGTTATCTGCGAGCTGGGAGCCTCGCGGTGTAATTTGATGGCCTTGTCCTAGGCAGCATTGTCCTCTGACAGGCCTCGTGGCCCGTGTGTTTATGAGCGGGGGGTGATCGGCCACGCCCGGTGTTCAGTGGTGGAGGGTGATCGGCCACGCCCGGTGTTCAGTGGTGGAGGGTGATCGGCCACGCCCGGTGTTCAGTGGTGGAGGGTGATCGGCCACGCCCGGTGTTCAGTGGTGGAGGGTGATCAGTTGCGCCCATGTGTTCAGTGGTGGAGGGTGATCGGCCACGCCTGGTGTTCAGTGGCGGAGGGTGATCAGTTACGCCCATGTGTTCAGTGGTGGAGGGTGATCGTCTACGTCCGTGTGTTCAGTGGTGGAGGGTGATCGGCCACGCCCGTGTGTTCAGTGGTGGAGGGTGATCGGCCACGCCCGCGTGTTCAGTGGTGGAGGGTGATCGGCCACACCTTGTGCGGCCGTGCTGACTGGTGCCGGCCGCCCCCCGCCAGGCGGCGCAGCGGGAGCTGGACGGTGCGCCGCGCTCGCGGCACCGGCGCGCCCCCCGCCAGGGCGGCGCCACCAGCCACCTGCCCGACAGCCGCGGCACGTGCAGCGTCTCGGTGGAGACGGACCCGACCCTGTGGCGGCACGTGTTCGCGAAGGAGGGTCGCGACCCGCGGCGCACGCGCGAGGAGCTCACCGCCATGGTGGCCTCGCACGTGAAGGCCGTAAACCGCGTATACGACCGCGAGAAGTTCGACGGCGGCTACTCGCACCGCGGTATCCAGTTTGAGGTGCAGCGACTGAAGGTGAGTGGCTGGCGCCGGCGCCAGCGTCGGTGCGTGGCCAATGCGGAGGCAGGGCGCGGCCTCGCCGGCGCCGTGGTGGACCAGCCTGCCGGCGATGGCACTGAGGAGATCCGGTACTTGTAATACCCGCCATCACCAACGTGTTCTGAGTGATGACCTACTCGTTACCCGTCGTCTCTCATCACTTTCGGAGACGTCCCAACTCGCTCACTTTTCTTGGTGGTTTCACTTGTGCCTTGCCCGACACGATCGATATAGGCCTCAGACGTGTGTGAACGCATTGGGTGCTGATGCAGATGTTAATGGAAACACTAGGGGATGCAAACGGGCCCGACATCAGCGGCCGTCGTTGAATTTGGGGCTGGCGCGCTGTCACTCCGACTGACTCCGCCAGTGTATACTTCATTCGTTAGTGAGTGCGATCACAACTCCGTACTGACCGCTCCGGCATCTCTCACGCGTCGGTGCACAGGCCCGCGCTGTATCAAACGTGGCGTCATTGTACTGTATTCTTTTCACTGAACATGCGAGGCAGAAGCGGCTGTAATCCTCACGGGGTAAGGCACCCGTCCTATGTGCTGTATTGGTGTGAAGCTGTGCCCGTGTCCCGCGCGCGCTCACCTGTATGCTGGTATTGGTGTCGAGCTGAACCCATGCCCTGCGCACGCTGACCTGTCTGCTGATATTGGTACCGGGCTGTGCCCGTGCCCCCCGCGCGCGCTGACCTGCATGCTGTTATTGGTGCTGTGTTGTGCCTGTCCCACGCGCGCGCTGACCTGTCCCGGGCTCGGGCCGTCAGATCGACGACGACAGCACGTGCGACCCGTCCTACCGTGGCGGCGATCGCAACAAGTTTTGCATCCCCAACGTGGACGTCTCCAACTTCCTGAACCTGCACTCGGAGGACAACCACGACGCCTTCTGCCTGTCCTACGTTTTCACCTACCGCGACTTCAACAAGGGCACCCTTGGCTTGGCGTGGGTGGCCTCGCCCGCAGGTGGGTCACCTGCGGCGGCGGCGGAGCGCCCGTTCACACTCCAGTGTTGCACACCTGGGGCGCTGCGGTCGGGACGCTGGCCGGACGTTGCGTGGTCGGACCGGTGGTTTGGTTGCCTACTCTGGGGTCACACTCTCATGCTGCTGCGTCAGTGAGTGCCATGCGTCATGGGTGTCGTCCGGTGCAGTGTAGTGGACAAATGATATCCCGGATCGGCGGCTAAATTGTTCGTGGTGAAGTGCTCAAAATGACGTGACATGTATGCCTGTCATATTACGATGACCTAACGTGATTTTAATCCACACAGTTGCACGTAATTCTAATGCGTTTTCAATGTCGCTAGTTCGTTGTCATTCCAGCGATCTTTTTGCATAGGCACAGCGTAAATGTAATGGAAAAGAACAGTTCAGGCATCACTTATTCATCGTGGAAGACAACACGCATTTGTGTTAAATGGCGTTTCGTTGCTGGGCTGTCCGCCTTGGTAGGAAATTCGTCTATTGGGGTGGATCGGCGTCGGCGTTAAAATGTGCGGGGAGGACGCGATAAGCGTGTCGGTAGCCCCTGCGCTAGGTAGGGTCCGACGACGGAAATGCCGCATCTGCCGGCAGAGCGGAGCCCCGCGCCGTTTTGAGCGGCTGTGTGCTGGCGCGAGTGTGTTGTTGGGGGCTGGTGCGGCGTCTGACCGGCGCCGTGTGTGTGTGTGTGTGTCGCTCTCGGCAGGCGCGTCCGGTGGCATCTGCGAACGCTACAAGCCATTCGCCGACAACATCGGTGGCTCGCAGCGCACCAACAAGCGCTCGCTGAACACCGGCATCATTACGTTCGTCAACTACCACTCGCGCGTGCCGCCGCGCGTCTCGCAGCTGACGCTGGCGCACGAGATCGGCCACAATATGGGCTCGCCGCACGACTGGCCCAGCGACTGCACGCCCGGCGGGCCCGACGGCAACTTCATCATGTTCGCCAGCGCCACCAGCGGCGACTTGCCCAACAACAGCAAGTTCTCCGAGTGTAGCCGGCGCAACATCAGCTCCGTGCTGGACGCCATCTCGTCGGGCAAGAAGCGGGACTGTTTCACTAGTGAGTGCGGCGCCGCGGCCCCGACTGTCGCCTTTTGTTGCGGTAAGAGGCTCCGAGACCAAGACCATGTCTAGCAGCTGTGAGCATGCATTTGCACAGGTGATGGCGTAGCCAGGCTGAGGTATTGCAGATACCGACTGGCAACCAGTTGTCCATTTTCGTTGCACCTTCGTTGGAAATTTTTCCATCCGGGCAACTTAACCAAATGGAGCGTTGTGACAACCTTTGTCGTCATTTTTGCGTACCAAATTGCGCCGTCGTGTGGCATATATATATATATATATATATATATATATATATATATATATATATATATATATATATGTCAATGCAGGACTTCAGGGAAGATGCGGACTGTGCTACTGCTATTGGGCTATCACCATATAATTAAGCACTGCTCACTTGTGACAGCGCCGACGGCACCGTCGTTCGGGCGGACAGGTCGAGGAAGTACCCGAAGGTGTCAACGGGACATTGCTGAAACACTATGGCTTTGTCGCCGAGTCAGTGATGTGCTATAATGGATTGCCCCCGTTGCTTTGTTAAAGGGACGGTGGCCTCGTTTGATTTCCGCGAAATTGTGGCAAGGAATGTGTCAGTTACAGTGCATTAGGCAAGTAAGAAAGGCCGTGGCTCGGTGTTCGAGTGCCCATGCCGAACGTAACCGGTCTTCATCAGGCCAAACGTACTGGTTAAGAGAGGATGTAAAGCCAGCATTGGGACATATGGAAACACCAAACACCACCAAACACCAAAAGGTTCTTGTGCAAATAAAAAGAAAGCAGTTTTGTCCATAAGGAGGCATTTGAACTGTTGTTTAATATCTTATGCTATCTGGTACCTCCTGGTACATAATGTGTCAATGTATTGAAGGTCAATTATGTCCAGCATAAAAACTCAATATCGAAGTGGAGTCGTCCCTACCGTTGTCCTAGCCAGTTAGAAGAAGCACCCAGTAGCTGGTTTGTGTATTTGCGTGATCAGCATCACTGAGAAGGTGACCTGCGGGCTCGTGTGTACTTCGCAGTTGGTATGGTTGTTTCTGTGTTGAAGCGTAATCACGCCCTCTCCTTAACGTGGCAGATCAGGCAATCAACTTAATATTTCAATTGGTTGGTTAGACACTGAAGGGTTTTTTTTTGTTCGGGAAGGTTTCGTTCCCGGATACTAATGCATCTGGCGGGCGCAATATTGCTATGGTTGGACGGGCAGGCCGGCGCCATTTCCAGCAGCGTGCCGAGCTTGACACACATGCACGGAGCCCACCTTCCGCTTCGGTTCCGCGGCGTCAAGAGCGACGCCACATTGGTATTCACGGCACGGCACCCGCTCTGCTCTGCTGATTGGTACAAATTAACCGCAGTTGAGTATGCCCCTTCACGGTTGACTGCGTTCAATTACAGCGTTGCCGCTGATACCACTGACAGATGGCCTCGCGTATCCCAGTCATAATTATGTGCGTTCTTAGCGTGTGGGTGTCGCTACTTTATTAGTCCAACGGTTTCAGCCCGGGCGACTCAGATGGATATTAAGGGGAAAACATTGTAATAACGTTTTGTTGGAACTCGGTTCGATGATTGCCAAGGCACAATGACGCATGGTACTATGTTTTAATTCAGACGGTTTACTCGCGACAAGTTAAGTTCGCTGCTGCCAGCAAATCTGAAAAATGTCTTCCGCCCTCCCTGTAATCTCTCATCTCTGATACGAATGTCAGGAGCGTGTGTTCTGGATGGCTGGGAAATAATCTGCTGTTCTATTCTACAGGCGAGTTATGCGTACATCAGGCTGACATGTTGTCACACTCATTGCTAATAATAACATGAGGGTTATCTTGCCGTTCTGGAGAAGTCACGGAGGAGCGTTCGTGTGACGTCGCCGGGCGGAGCGCACTGTGGGTGACGGCCGGGGCCGGGCTGACGCCAGATTGACGCCGGGCTGACGCCAGACTGACGCCGGGCTGACGCCAGACTGACGCCGCCGCCGCGCCTGTCACAGAGTCGGACGGCGCCTTCTGCGGCAACAAGATCGTCGAGGATGGCGAGGAGTGTGACTGCGGCTTCGATGACAACGAGTGCTACGAGAGCTGCTGCTACCCCAACCAGGTGTCGCCGGCCGACAAGGCTGCCAACGCGTCGGCAGAGGGCTGCCGCCGCCGTCAGTACACCCAGTGCAGGTGGGTCGGGGCCCGGCCGGGCGCGCGGCGCGGCGCCCGCACCGCCGCCGCCGGCCGGCCGCAGTGCAGCCGCCTTCAATAGGACATAGGTCGCACAGGGACCCGGTTTGCTCAGAAGATCAAAGGCAATCGGGGACTGAACTGCGGGCGGCCATACAGCGCGAGAGTAGTCTGGGGCATCGTCTGTTGCAAGCTCTGCGCAATACTGCCGTCCCCAAAAAAAGGCTTGAGAAGTATTTTCGAAAAAGGCTTTTATTTCATTTGATGCGGCTCGAAAAACCGCACCTTGTGATTTAAAGTAAACGTGTGGAGATTTGGGACATCGCCTTGGATTTGGTTTAATGTTTATTTAAACAATTTGAAAAATTAGCGTTGAAAATGTGTCCACATTTCTTTTTCTTAGCCCATAAGTATGTTTAATTCACCAAAACTTGAAAATGTTTGTGAAGAATTCAACTCATGGTTCGGAGACAGTTTTGCCTACGGATGGCAAAACAAATCACGTGACCCATGGAATCGAATGCATTGTCTATCCCAGCAGCAAGGGCTCCTGTGGTTGTACTTTCATTTTACAGCCAGCGCAGCAAACAACAAGTTGTAGGATCCAGCATGAAATGGCGTCAGTGGCGGCAGCGCTCATAAACCCCCAAACATCATCATCAATCCCACTACAACGTCATCCCAGCAAACAATTTGAGGATGTTGTGAAAGAGGGCCTTTAACGAGCGTTGCGAGATCGAACGTCCAGAGAGCGCGATCCTATGGTCTCAAACGCCGACAAGAAAGCAGGATGAAACAGCGCAGTCCACTTATGATGCTATTGTCGCGTGCTGAGCGCGACAACCGCGGTCACGGCTGTTTGCAGAGACGGCGTTAAGCACGCCGGCCCATTCGGCCAAGAGCCGGCTAAATTGCGAACGATGCCGTTGATTATCTCATTACTTCTGTAGGGTCAGAGTGGGTGTTTGGACGATATCTCTGAATTCGTCGTTGTTCTTAAACTGTTCGTGATTATCACTAAAACAAAAACATTGTTGGCCTATTGGCACGTGAGTTCTAAAGCTTGCCGCGTGGTGAAAGTATTAGACAGCGCAGAAGGCAGAGATGCGTTGCCCACCAGCACCTTCACTCTAGTTCCGCTGGAGCAAGGCCTTGTCGTGGAGGGCCCGTGTCGGCGCGGCCGGAGATCGGCGAACGGAGACCCGGCTGTGCTGCGCGTGACATTGCGGCTGATGCTGCCGGACACGCCCTCGCTTGTTCGTCCCCGGGGCGGCCGAGTGGCGCGCAGAAGTCGCAGCGGAGGTGTCAACAGCGGCCGGCGTGGCGCGCAGCAGTCGCAGAGGAGGTGTCAGCAGCAGCCAGTGTGGTGCGCAACAGTCGGTGTGGCGCACAGCGGTCGCAGCGGCGGTGTCAGCAGCAGTCGAACGCGGTCGTATTTGACACGAGGGGGCCGGCCATTTCTCGGCCGCCCCTCGGCCTCGTCCTTGCCTGGGCTAGCTGCAGGGAGCGGCCTTCAGAGCGTATATTGCCGTGACATCGGTGACGGCCGGGGCGTGTGTTTGGGGTGCCACTGCTGGCTCCGCGCCGTCAGTATGGCCCCAGTGCCGCCACCTGATGCTGACTCCTCCGCTATAGCCCCAGCGAGTCCAACACCAACCCCGTTACACCTCCAGTGACTCTGACACCGACCCCCGTTACGGCCCCAGCGAGACCGACCCCCAATATAGCCCCAGCGAGTCTGACGCCGACCCCCGATACAGCCCCAGCGACTCTGACGCCGAACCCCGAATCAGCCCCAGCGACTCTGACGCCGACCCCCGAATCAGCCCCAGCGACTCTGACGCCGACCTTCCGTTACAGCCCCAGCGACTCTGACGCCGACCTTCTGTTACAGCCCCAGCGAGGGCCCTTGCTGCGACCGAAGGTGCAGTTTCGTCGCCGCGCTTGAGCGGCTCAAGTGCCGCACCGAGGACAACTGCACGTACGACTCGTACTGTGACGGGTTCGGGGCGGCGTGTCCGGCGCCGCCGCCGCGGCCCGACATGACCGAGTGCAACATCGGCACCAAGGTAGGCCGGCCTGTGGCGCGCGCTCACGGCCGCACGGCACCTGCCGTATGGCCGTGTGTTGGGCCGGCGGGGCGGCGGCAAGTCGGGGTGGGTCAGAAACATCTGCGTGCGTAAACGCACTGGTCATGGCCAATGTCCGCGTGGCAGAGCAGCTGGCATTGAAAATAAGTTTTGTGCACATGATGTTTGAAACCATTTTGCCGCTTTTCAGAAAATGACGATTCACTGTAGACTCGTTTGCGGTAACTCGTAAGATTTGATATTGCTTGAAGAAGGATGGAAATACAGCAGTTTTTAAAAGGCCCTCAGATGAATTATCAACTGCATGCCGCCGAGCCTGGCGTGGCCTGGCCTCGGGATAATGAATTATTCATGCTGATAAGCATGCAACCTGAAAGTCACCGCTTCCACGCTGCGCATTTGACTCGTCCTATTGCGTTAGCCGGCGTGAAGGCTGCAACGCTGATCATAACGGGTACAAATGCTGCTTTTTAATCCTATTGCCTTGTTTTGATTCGAAACAGTTGGCCTCCAGATGAGCGATGCCACCTTGTCGTCAGGCTGTTCAAAGCAATGCACAACAATGCGTTATTTTTATCTCCGCGTCGAAAAGTGACAGATCCCAACTGCCTCCCGTTTCCCAATGTGCGTGTTGAGAAAGCAGCCTTGTATTGGTGTCCGTCAAACAGCTCCGTTAGCAAAGCACGGCATCGGTCATATCAATGAGCACTCCCCGCAAGCGGAAAACATGGAGCCGCGTCGTGCGGCGTTAATTATTCGCCGGCCGCTGCAGTATTCACGGCCGATGAACGGCCGCCCGGCCGCTGGAGACAGGCACGTGGCCCGGGCGGCCGAGGCCGATGACTGGAGGCAGGCGCGCGGCCCGGGCGGCCGGGCCGGATGCGGCCGCGGCGCGCCGTCGGCTGATGAGCGCCGCCGTCGGACCGCAGCGGGGCGCCGACCACTGGTCATCTTTAATATCGGAGCGCGCTGTTTGCGGCCGCGGCCGAATCAATAGGCGGCGCGGCACGTTCCGGACGGTCGCGTTGTTTGTGGCGCGAGCAGGCCGGACATGGGCCTTTGTTGGGAGCAGCGTCGGCCTGTTACACCCTGCGGCCGCCGTCGGCAGCTCCGGTCGGCAGCTCTGGTCGGCAAAGTGTCGCACAGTCGGGTTCTTGGTGAGATTGAAGGGTCGCAATGCATCGTGATCGGGTCTAAAATAACGCACTCGCGTAGGTCGTTGCCTCATTTGACTGGCGCGGTCAGCGATCGTTCAGGAGTAACATGTAAAAGACTGCAAATAAGCGACAAAATGCGTCCGAATCGACTGTTAGGACACCCGAGGTCAATGACCGAGGGGACTGGTGTACGGGAGACCATTGGTGAGGCTACAGTCGCGTTTAGTTTGCGTTTTGCACGTTTTTGTAGTTTCCGCGTGCACCGTGCCGGTTTGGCTCGGTGCTACGAGCGTAATTGGCTTAGCGTGGCCTGCTTTGGCCGGCCACTGCAGATGCGTATCCATTTCCTGATTTCCTCATGGTCTCGTGTTTGGTATACTCTAACACCGCGTAGCGTGCTGGCTGCAAATACTCACATTGTTGTGCGTCATGTGATGTGGGTAATTGTACCTGCCGGGAGCTTGCGATGCTCGTCGGCTACCCGTGCTCAGTGCCAGCAGACCGCTGTCTGGGTGTCCGGGGCCGCGCGGCTGCCGTCCGAGGCCGCCGATTTCATCGGGCCTCTGCAGCCCACGCGCATAGGCATGAAGGAACCGTTCGGATGGTGGCCCCCGCGACGGTGCGGTCTCACGCTGTTCCTGCCATGCCGGGATTTGACACTCTTTTGAGAGGCAGACGATCGCCGAGGTGTGTTTGTGTTGGAAAGTAGCCTTGCTGAACCACAGGGAGCGTTTCTTTGCTGTTGTGGTGAGGCAGTAGTCTAACCGTACTGGTCTGCTACGAGAGCTGATGAACACATGGCTCACGAGGCGTCGCCTCCCCCTCCCTGGCTCCTCGACCGCACCGTTCACATCTTTTTGCGATGCGGGTTACGTGTGGTCCTGTTACGTCCGACCAGGCTGGCCAGTAGCTTGCTACGTCCGACCCGGGCTGGCCAGTAGCCTGTTACGTCGACCCGGGCTGACCAGTAGCATGTTACGTCCGACCCGGGCTGGCCAGTAGCATGTTACGTCCGACCCGGGCTGGCCAGTAGCATGTTACGTCCGACCAGGCTGGCCAGTAGCCTGTAACGTCCAACCCGGCTGGCCAGTAGCATGTTACGTTGGACCCGGGCTGGCCAGTAGCCTGTTACGTCCGACCCGGGCTGGCCAGTAGCCTGTTACGTCCGACCCGGGCTGGCCAGCAACCTGCGTGGTCGTGTCGCGACTCGCGTCCGCGTCGCCTGCGGCCGTTTCCAGTCGGGTGTCACCCGCGCTCTGAGTAAGCTCCCTTCTGACAGTGCTGGATGGCTCTCCCCACCCCTGCGCCAGCCACCCGTCTCACCCCCCACCCCCCCCTCTGACATGCCTGGGATGGCTCTCCCCACCCCTGCGCCAGCCCACCCGTCTCACCCCCCCCCCCCCTCTGGACGTTCTGGGTGGGCTCTCCCCGCCCCTGACTCCAGCCACCCGTCTCCCCACCAGCCCCCCCTCTGGACAGATGGTGTGGTCTCCCCACCCCTGCGCAGCCACCCGTCTCACCCCCCCCCCCCTCTGACATGCGGTGGCTTCCCCACCCCTGCGCCAGCCACCCGTCTCACCCCCCCCCCCCTCTGACATGCTGGGTGGCTCTCCCCCACCCCTGCGCCAGCCACCCGTCTCACCCCCCCCCCCCTCTGACATGCTGGATGGCTCTCCCCACCCCTGCGCCAGCCACCCGTCTCACCCCCCCCCCCTCTGACATGCTGGGTGGCTCTCCCCCACCCCTGCGCCAGCCACCCCGTCTCACCCCCCCCCCCCCTCTGACATGCTGGGTGGCTCTCCCCACCCCTGCGCCAGCCACCCGTCTCACCCCCCCCCCCCCTCTGACATGCTGGTGGCTCTCCCCACCCCTGCGCCAGCCACCCGTCTCACCCCCCCCCCCCTCTGACATGCTGGTGGCTCTCCCCACCCCTGCGCCAGCCACCCGTCTCACCCCCCCCCCCCTCTGACGTGCTGGATGGCTCTCCCCACCCCTGCGCCAGCCACCCGTCTCACCCCCCCCCCCCTCTGACATGCTGGGTGGCTCTCCCCACCCCCTGCGCCAGCCACCCGTCTCACCCCCCCCCTCTGACATGCTGGGTGGCTCTCCCCACCCCTGCGCCAGCCACCCGTCTCACCCCCCCCCCCCCGCCCCCCTCTGACATGCTGGGTGGCTCTCCCCACCCCTGCGCCAGCCACCCGTCTCACCCCCCCCCCTCTGACGTGCTGGGTGGCTCTCCCCACCCCTGCGCCCAGCCACCCGTCTCACGCCCCCCCCCCCCTCTGACATGCTGGATGGCTCTCCCCACCCCTGCGCCAGCCACCCGTCTCACGCCCCCCCCCCCCCCTCTGACATGCTGGATGGCTCTCCCCCACCCCTGCGCCGGCCACCCGTCTCACCCCCCCCCCCCCCCTCTGACATGCTGGATGGCTCTCCCCACCCCTGCGCCAGCCACCCGTCTCACCCCCCCCCCCCCTCTGACATGCTGGATGGCTCTCCCCACCCCTGCGCCAGCCACCCGTCTCACCCCCCCCCCTCTGACATGCTGGGTGGCTCTCCCCACCCCTGCGCCAGCCACCCGTCTCACCCCCCCCCCTCTGACGTGCTGATGGCTCTCCCCACCCCTGCGCCAGCCACCCGTCTCACCCCCCCCCCCCCTCTGACATGCTGGTGGCTCTCCCCACCCCTGCGCCAGCCACCCGTCTCACCCCCCCCCCCTCTGACGTGCTGGATGGCTCTCCCCACCCCTGCGCCAGCCACCGTCTCACCCCCCCCCCCCTCTGACATGCTGGGTGGCTCTCCCACCCCTGCGCCAGCCGCCCGTCTCACCCCCCCCCCCCCCCTCTGACGTGCTGGATGGCTCTCCCCACCCCTGCGCCGCCCCGTCTCACCCCCCCCCCCCCCTCTGACATGCTGGGTGGCTCGCCCCACCCTGTGCTAGCCGCCCGTCTCACGGCCCCCCCCCCCCTCCTCTGACGTGCTGAGTGGCTCGCCCCACCCCTGCGCCGGTCGCCCGTCTCACCCCCCCCCCCTCTGACATGCTGGGTGGCTCGCCCCACCCTGCGCCAGCCGCCCGCCCACCCACCCCCCCCCTCTGACATGCTGAGTGGCTCGCCCCACCCCTGCGCCGGCCGCCCGTCTCATGTCCCCCCCCCCCCCCACGGCGGACAGGTGTGTCTGAATGGCGAGTGCTCCGGCTCCATCTGCCTGAAGCACGGCCTGCGCGAGTGCTTCCTCACGTCGGACGCCATCGAGGACCGCGGCAAGCTGTGCGAGGTGGCCTGCCAGCGCGGCCAGAACGCCAGCACGTGCCGCAGCAGCAGCGAGCTCGGGCTCGGCGCCGGACGGGGCATCTACATGACGGCCGGGGCCGCCTGCGACAACTTCCAGGTCGGCCGAGCGGCGCGCGGCCTGCAGCTGGCGCCGGCCGCTCACCCGGCCGGTGCTGGCCTTGGACTGGACTGGTGATTCGTGCGGCGCGGGGCGAATGATCGTACTTGTCTAATCCTCGCTCGTGATCGGCAAAGGCCTCGTGTCGGGTCGTCTAATGGCTATATCTGATGGGTACATATCTGATATTTCCCTATGATGGGTCAACGCTAATGAGCCGTGGTTGGCGTTTGTGTGTTGTCCTGTGATAGGCACTCATGTCGGTCTGTGATTGGTCCGCATCTGGCATTGACGAAGGACGTGCGATGGACGCGCGTCTGATATGTGACACGGCTATGACACTTTCGTCATTAGTATGCGGGGTGTAAGTGGCCGAGTGGGCCGAGGTGTTCGATCTTGGATCAGGAGGTGCGGCTCAATTCCTGTAACAGGACGCTTCCACCGGCTTCTACGGAAGGGGCCGTGTCGACGGCCGTGGCAGTGACGCGCTGGGATGAATAACCCAGCAAGTGCTGTTGTTCACTGTTGGCCCGTGGCCGGGAGCGTTCCAGCGGGCGGTGGTGCCTCAGTCGGCTGACACGTCACCACAAGCGCGGAGCGCACGTCACCACAAGCTGCCGCTGTGACGTGCGCTCCGCTCCGACTGGGGCTCGGGCGGGCGGCAGAGGAACGAGCGCCGTGGGCCCTTGGTCTGCGTGGTCGTGTGAACGCCGCCGCTGTGACGTGCGCTCCGCCGCGACTGGGGCCCGGGCGGGCGGCAGGGGAACGAATGCCGTGGGCCCTTGACGTGTATGTGCTGTCTCCGATCGTGGCGCAGTTCACGTGCCTCCCACGCGACGGCAGTTACTGGAGGCCGCGACGCTGACGCGCCCACCAGTCAACGTGTCAACGGGAAGTGAGCTGACGACCCGCCTTCACCGGGCAGGGCTACTGCGACGTGTTCCTTAAGTGCCGCCGAGTGGACGCCGAGGGGCCGCTGGTGCAGCTCAAGAATCTGCTCTTCTCCGAGAAGACGCTCATGTCCATCGTCGAGTGGATCACGGTCAGTGGCGCCGGCAGCCGCCGTGCGGAGCGCCGCCGCTGCTGGTATGCGCTCTCTTATCTCGGTCCGATGTGGAACGGGGCCTGTTTTCCAGCCACGCAGGCTGCGCCCGACACGTCGTCCCGATACATAAGCGATGGAGACGTTGTCAGGCGCGGCTGTCCCAGCAGTGGTGTGGCGCATCGCGATGGTGAGGGGTTTGTATTTTGGGTCACGTGACGAACAGGGTCCCTTCCGTAGAACAAGCATTGCGTTTTCAGCTTGGAGGCCCGTCTCGTGAGCAGGGCTTGCCTCGGAGTAGCAGCTGCGCCTTCTGCGAAGCTGGCGTGCCCGGTGCCGGCAGCGCAGGGACTGGCCGATCGGTAATGCCAGTAGATGAATATCGCGCCGTGCGGCGGCTGGTTGCCCGGTGATTGATGAGGGAAATAACCGGGGCTGATTTTCCGTGCCGCCGTGTGGAAAATGTGGGCGCATTCTGGACATGCCTGGCGGCCGTCAGCCGCGGAATAATTGGTCTCGGCTGGGCTGTTGGTGGCGGTCGCTGACGGCCCGGTGCGGAGGTCATGATCGGCGGCGACTGCCGACTGCGGCGGCCGGCCCTGACGGGGGCCCAATCACCGGGCGGGCGGACTGCCCGGCCCGACACCCCGCCGCCGCCTGTTGCCATGGACGCTGTTCCTGATACGGTCGTGTGGCGGTCGCGGCCAGGCGTCGGCATGCGCGACGCGTCTTGTCTGTTGCAGTGTGCACTCCCTACGTGGCCAACGGGACCCGGATCTGGCTCCCGACCCGGCTCTACAAGGCCTGCCGGCACCTGCGCCCTTGGGTTACGCGTGAACTTGCTATTTTAACTGGGGGTTCGATCCCTCCCGCGCGTCGCGGTTAACCCGCGCGGTCTATATAAGGTGCCCCGACCTGAACGAGCTATCATCCTATGCTAATCATCATTTGTCAGTATGGTGACATCTCGCTGCATACCATGAGTACGTGGTTCATTGTATTCCAAAAAGAAACTAGCAGAGCTTTTAGTACAGGCTTTTTTAAAACGTTTCGTACAGAGCGGTACTTGTTCTTCTGGTAGTGGATCGCAACCCCGCTCGGAAAAGATGACAACTCTAAACTCTGTTGCAACTCGGACAACTCGGCTGCGTGCCTTGAAACTGCCCCTCCGGCACACGGCACTGTGCGTTTTGCCGGTTCTTCACATATTTACGTTGCGGCATTTATGCGAATTGCAAGCAAGTTGTATGCAAGTTGTTGGCTGTAACATGGACTAGGTGAGAAACCATTTGGCTAAATAAGCGTCAGCCTAGTTGTGTGCCTCGGGCGCTGGCGTTACGATGCCGCTGGTCGCAGCAAAAGAGTATGGGAACAAACACTTATGCTAGAAATGGAAAACTCGTTTTGACCTCGAAAATCAATGCCCGCGATAGCCCACAAAGTTTGAAAACTCCTTTTCCGAAAAGTCGTCCACTGTGACCAGGAGCCGTGGTCAGAACTTAGGTCACGCCGACCCCGATACGCGACAAGCTCCTTGCAGTTTTAGATGACCGTACCGTCCGGTTCGAAAGGATTTTTCGTGATGACATTTCTGTGCAAGGTGAATACCATTGGGGTCGTCAGCATGGCCAGTATGCCCTACGGGCTTTCTGGTTTATGTATGCAACTTTCCTAGTGATGGCTAGTTTCTTTTTCGTTCCGAATATTTTCTTTCGAGACACATGTTCATGTGTGGTTGTCACTTCGCCGTCTCTGCTAAGACGTTCTGTGGTGTCGGGCTGGCTGACGGAGGGGGGGGGGGGGGGCGGGGGTCTCGGTTGTCCGTGGTGCTGACGGCGCCCTGTGGGGCGGCTTGGCTGGCACCGGTGCTCGCGGTGCCGGTGTCAGGCGGGCTGACGGGGGTGTCTCGGTTATCCGTGGTGCTGACGGCGTCCTGTGGGGCGGCTCGGCTGGCACCGGTGCTCGCGGTGTCGGTGTCGGGCCGGCGTCGCTTGTGGCGCCGATGCTGCCGGGACAGGTGGTGATGCGGTCTCGCCTCCATCGGCCAGCACTACTGGTGGGCGGTGCTGCTGATCTCGGTGGCGTTCGTGGTGGTGATGGCGCTGTTCATCCGCTGCTGCGCCGTTCACACGCCGTCCTCCAACCCCAAGAGAGCGCCGCCCAGGAAGTTCGCCGACACGCTCAAACACCCCATGGACACGCTGAAGCGGCAGCGGGTAAGCCAAGGCCCTGGCCCCGGCCGGCTGGTGGCCACACTCCAGCCATAGCCAGCAAGGTCAACTTCTCATCGCTGACGTAAAGTAATCTCTGGGAGCTCGTGGTGGGCTCTCTGACCTTAAGCCATCAGCCCAGAATAAATATTAATCACCGCACCTTGAAAATTTGCCGTTCTTGGAAGTGTCCGCTCTCATATACCTTGCGGTTTTTCACACGCCCAGATACATGTACAATCACCGTCGTTTTGAATCGACAGTATCCGAAATATCATACCATTATGATGCCTCTCATAGCGAAGCGAGCAATGTGTTACGATCGAAACGTCATGCCGGGTATAACTTTGCCGATGTGAGTAGCAACGAGGCCACATAATTACGCAGTTGGAGCGCCCGAAAGGTCAGCTGATTAAAGTTCAGGGACGTGGAGGCTGGTTCAAGCTGATTCACGAGATAGGCCGTCAGTTTTTACAGCCTTCATGTGACATGCGACCTGGGCCCGAGTGTAACATCTTACATTATCACGCTGATGCTCTTGTATTCTTTGACGACCGTGGTCGCAAAAAAACAAACATGGGCGATGAGAAGTCCAGCTTGTTGGGCCCTGACTGCTATCACACCTGGTGGTGCCTATCGTCCCTCCAGTCGGCCCGATCACCTGCATTTACGCGGAGCGCCAAACCACTACGCTCTTCTGTGCCGTGATTTACCACAGATAGAGATAGCATTTGTTCTTCGATCATCAGAATGATGCAGCGCTGGCCAATGGAAGTGGGTCCTGTTATCTATTCGGTTTAATTTATATTTATTTAGGCGAGTCGTTCTTCCACATGTTAAATGTAGTCGTAAGACTGTCAACAATTACGATTATTGACAGTAGTTTAAGGGTGCCGCTTCTTCCCGTACTCGATTTGGCCGAATGGGCGCCAAATGACCGCTGCAGTCGGCGCGCCCGAAAACACCGGTCAACAACAACAAAAGCGATTTGGCCGTCCTGTGCCGTCCTGCCATCTGACGGCGACCCGTGCTGTGCCGTCCTGCTGTCTGGCGGTGGCGCGTCCTGTGCTGGCCTGCTATCTGACGGTGGCCCGTCTTGTGCCGTCCTGCTATCTGACGGCGACCCGTTCTGTGCCGTTCTGCTATCTGACGGCGACCCGTTCTGTGCCGTCCTACCGTCTGACGGCGGCCCGTCCTGTTCCGTCCTACCGTCTGACGGCGGCCCGTCCTGTGCCGTCCTGCCGTCTGGCGGCGGCCCGTCCTGTGCCGTCCTGCCGTCGGTCTGAGCGAGTGTCGTTGCAGCGGCAGCATCCGCGGCGGCCGCCGGGCGGCGGTGGTCCGGTGGTGGAGGAGTCGGAGCTGGCCGCCAGCAGCGCGCGACCCAGCCGGGCCAGTCACGGCCCGCCGCCGCCCTACCAGCAGGTCGGGCCCAGCCGTCACGGCTACGGCGCGGGTCGCGGCCACTACAGCCGACAAGGTCAGCCAAGCCCATATGGGGCCAACACCAGACGTCAGTGGTCCTTGCATATTGCACATCTTTCAGTGTGAACGTCGATGACATGACTCAGATTGTTACTGGTGATTTGCGCATGCATACATATTGCCAAAACACTCAGCTTGGCGACATTTTTGAAACTGGCTTTCAGTAAGTTCAGTTTTGTGTTGGAGATTTTGTTGCTTAGATATGCTCTCATCGTCGAGTAATCGAGGGCTAATTGATCCCTTTGCGACGAGGTTGTTCGATTTCATTCTTCCTTCCAAAGTTCCTTTCGAGCCTGTGCCAGTGTCAAACTGAATGCAGCACTTGCTTGGACGAACTGGACCCAGGAGCTGAAGGGTGACCGCACCCGAGCTGACCTGTGCTGGCACAGCGCGCGCCGGGCGCCGCGGCTGCCAGTCAGGCCGGTCCGCTGACCGGGGCGCCATCCGCAGGCACACGGGAGGACGTGGAGGCCGGCGGCCGGGCGGCGGAGCGTCAGAAGCGCCGCTCTCAGCCGGCGGCGGCCGGCCGGCACGTGTGACCTCGGTCCGAGGCGCCGGCGCCCGCCGCCTCCTGACCCGACACCGACACGAACGCCGAGCCTGGGCCCCCCGGACGCCGCCCGCCAGCCGGCGGGACACCACGACCGGCCGGCCGGCGCCATTGCCCGGGGCCGGGGGGTTCGGCCGGTGGTCGTGACTGCGAGCGGCACCGCGGGCGGCCATCCACGGACACGGTGCGGCTCACGTCCAGTGGGCACGCATTGAAATCAAACCATTTGTGTACTTGCATTATGAGAAGCGGCATTGCCAGGGCGGCGCGTTCTTGGCCTCTTCCTGGCGTGCGGGCGGTGGTGATGTGATACCGCGGCCCGGCACCCGTTGGCGCGCGCTCGTGCGTCGCCCCGGCCGCTGGGCGGGGCTCAGGCGTCTGCGGCCGGTGCAGGCTCCGACCTTGCTGCAGCCCGCTTCCGACGCCCGTCCGTCCGCGCCTGCAGCCTGGCCAGTGAGCGACACCCTCTCAGTGTGCGCCCCATTGGGCCGCCCTGCTCCCTGGCGCTATTTAAGCTTTCGAAGTTATTTGTTCCGTTGCACTGGTGGATGGAAGTGTGATCTGCGACGGCTGGCCGGCGCTGTATGTGCGTGCGGCCAGGTCCGCTCCCGGGCGTGCGGGGTCGCGGGACTCATTCGGGTACCCACTGCTTTGTTGCTGAACGCGTGAGGGCGGCTTTTGTTGTGAATGGCGGTGAAGCTTATCTGAGATGAGGCTTGGTGTGGTTTTGATATCTTATTCGAATTTTGATTCCAGAAGCTTTTAAAGTTATCGTCTCCAGAATATCGGCTTGGGCCGGGCATTGGAGGTGTCGGTTGGCAGAAACTCATGCTGCTTTGTACGGTGAAGTGCGAAGGCGCCTTGGAGTGGGGCATTGCCCAAGCGCTTGTTTTCCCCCGCCCCACCATGCGGAGTCGGTGCTGACTCGATCGCATGGCAAGCGTATGACTGGTGTTGGTGGCTTTTGAGAACCGGATGCGTTTCAGGAGTGGTGACTGGTTGCGTCAGCGGGCGCTGCGTGCCGACTCTCCGTCTGTGGGCTTTAGGCGGAGCACGTGGGATGAGCGTGTCCGGGCCGGTTGTTCCGCCACCTCCAGGGGGCGTGTGCCGGTCGCCGCCCCGCGCGCACGCAGTACTAGAGCCCGCGACCACGGCGGGGCAGCTCCGAATACCACCACTTCCACGCCACCAGCGGTGACCTACTCTGCGCACGATCTCTGGCCACTGAGGCACGGCGCCGGGGCGGCGGGGCTCGGCGGAGCCAGGCGCAGTGACGGCGTCAGGCGTCAACGCGCGGGCTGTGCCGCTCCGTAAGGCTCACGAGCTATTTAGTCAAGCCTCGTAAGGATAATTTGTTTCGCAAATATTTGTACTCGGCGTTCTGTGGACTGTAGCGTTTCGACGGCTTTCCCGCTCGTCGTTAGGGTTCCGCGTATTCATTTTCTGAAATTCCAAAGGAATGTAGATGTCTTCTGATGTTTTAAGATGTGCGTTATCCCGTCTATGCAGTACACGAACGCCCTTCACACGATGTCCACGTATGCGTTGTCTTCTGTTACGGAGGTGCACAAACAGTGCGGCAGAACAAGCTTGGTGCAGTGCTCCCTTTCGTTGCTGGACCCGCCTTGTCAGCCCCAGCCGCCGTGTGTCGCCGCGACCTACTCCGCAGCACTCGATACCCAAGTGGCCTTGCGCATCATCACCGTGTCATATTGATTTGTGGCGAGTCAGGGGGCGGCGGGCGGCGGCGACGGCTCGTTAGCGACGCCGCCGCCGCCCGCCGCGCACGAGATGGCACCTCAGCGCGGCGCGTCCGCTCGCGGCGCGGACTGCTGCCCGCCACCCGGGCACGTGGTGGAGTCGGACCGGACTGGTGGCGTGTGGGCGCGATCCGAAGCCAGCTCCACACCCGGTGTCGCTGGTCCCGGTAGTTAGGATGCACTCATCTGTCTCACTTTGTATGTATATTGTAAGATGTGTAATGAATCTTACGAGGGTACCCTGGCGTCTTCCTAACGGACCGTCGTGGCGGGACGCCGAGCTCAGCGGAGACTGGCCGCTGCCTTGTCGCGGTTCGCACGTCTGCACGTTCCACCCGCGCACCGATGCCTGACGGCCGGCGGCACGGAGCGGGGCGAAATACAGCCGGTCAGCCGTCGCTGCATTGACCTTCGGGTACACTGGCGAGGGCGCTGGGAAAACTCCGACGTCGGCCAGATAGCCCGCCTGCGGTAAGGCGTTCCCGCTTGTTGCTGGACGCCGATATGGGTAGCCAGTGGTCGTAGTTCACGGGCTCATTAATGGTCATGGCTGACGGCACCCGAGCCGACGCAGCTCGCCCGCACGCCAATGCAGCCAGGCTGCTCATCAGGGCGCTTCTCTCGATTCAGTTCACCTGCCCCAGTGCGCGTCGAATTGAGCATATATGATCGGATGTGGACGATCGCTGCATGACATGATCCGATGGATATAACAAAGCGAGCAGTATTGCGTTTGGGAGCAGCCATCGTCCTCGGTGTGCGCTGGTGTCCCTTCGGCTCTGGATGCCCCCAGACCCTATATCTCGCTCAGGTGCGGAGCATGGTGGCATTTCTTCAGCGGTTTTTGAGCCATGCGTTTTACCTCCGCGAGACACGGAAGGCGTCGCAGGGTGTTTTGAAAACTGTGTGTGCTATAGCCAGGCGGAACGCGGTATTCTTCCCGGAAAACTGAACGAAATAGGCGTCATCGGACGTCGGTGTTAGCGACCTGTGACGCGCCAAGCTGGTTCACGGGGCAGAATCGGTCAAGTCTCGTCCTGCACCATGAATATTATTTGTATCGTTTTCTTTTATGTTCAGCGCCATGTATGCCAAGGCTGGAGAGAGAGAGAGAGCGGCACTGTGAAGCTCATGACACACTAATGCGTTAACAGCATGTCATCAGTGAAAGCTGTTGTGTCCCGTGGCCTCTCAAATCAGGCTAGACACGCCCAGACTCGTGTGTCGAGGTCCCGCCCTCGTTATCTCAAACCGTTAGAACGGCGGTGTTGGAATAAGCGATGACGGCTTGTCACCGCACTACAGACGAGTTGTGTGACCTAAAATACGTCAAGTTTGAAAATATGTCGGTTGAAGCAATCAAAGCGATGGAGCAAAATGTAGGCTACCGTCGTACGTGCTAGGTACAAGGCACTTCGAACCTACCATCATTCATACGACAGATGTTACATGCGACCACAGGCGTGCTTTCATACGGTAATGGGGTGCCAAAGCGACCAGATAATAAAAGCGCCGATATATACTTTTACTGGCAGTCTCGTTCAGCGTGCAAGCTTGCCAGACGGTCAGACCATCGTTTGAGCATGCGTCATCGGTAGGTGGTAAGCGGAGTGATGGTAAATCCAGGCTCATCGGTAGGTGCTGGGGCGGAGGAGTGACGGTAAATCCTGGCTCATCGGTAGGTGCTGGGGCGGAGGACGGTAAATCCTGGCTCATCGGCAGGTGTGGGGCGGAGTGACGGTAAATCCTGACTCATCGGTAGGTGGTAAGCGGAGTGACGGTAAATCCTGGCTCATCGGCAGGTGCGGGGCGGAGTGACGTAAATCCTGGCCAATTGGTAGATGCTGGGCGGAGAGTGACGGTAAATCCTGGCTCATCGGTAGGTGTGGTGGCGGGAGTGAGGGTAAATCCTGGCTCATCGGTAGGTTGCTGGGCGGAGTAGTGACGGTAAATCCTGGCTCATCTGTAGGTGGTGAGCAGAGTGACGGTAAATCCTGGGTCATCGGTAGATGCTGGACGGCAGTGACGGTGAATCTGGTTCATCTGCAGGTGATGAGCAGAAGTGACGCTAAATCCTGGCTCATCGGCGGGTGCGGGGCGGAGCGGAGGTGAGGGTAAATCCTGGCTCATCGGCAGGTGTGGGGCGGAGTGAGGGCAAATCCCGGCTCATCGGCGGTGTGGGGCGGGAGTGAGGGTAAATCCTGGCTCATCGGCAGGTGCGGGGCGGAGTGAGGGCAAATCCTGGCTCATCGGTAGGTGGTGGAGGAGTGACGGTAAATCCTGGCTCATCGGTAGGTGCTGGGGCGGAGTGAGGGTAAATATTGGCTATTCGGTAGGTGTGGGGGGGTAGTGCGGGTGGTGCGGGGCGAGTGACGGTAATCCTGGCTATTGGTAGGTGCGGGGCGGAGTGACGGTAAATCCTGGCTCATTGGTAGGTGCGGGGCGGAGTGACGGGACATCCAGACACGCCCCTCATCCCATCACACTTGTGCACACCACACTGGAAATTAGGGCTGGAATATTGCGCTTTTCATTGGAGGGCGAGAAAACCCATGAAACTTGCCTATCCAATTTCCGAGAAATTTCCGAGACGAAATTGTCCACGTTACTCTGCGGTCATAATTTGGACTTGATATCAGAAAGACAGTCATTTAGCTGCTTGCGTTTGTGGTACTATGAGCTCAAAGTTCTTACGTATAATAATGACCTTCGATACACCAGGAGGTATTGGTCAAACGGCATTGCAGGGATTATCAGCGGGCATAATAACGATACTCGATATTCCGATCTGTCCTCATCCTCAAGAGCTCATGTCTTGAGGATGAGCACAGGCCAGCAGATGGACGTTTGTATTTTCTTAATGTCTAATAGACGTCGCATAGATTATGAAAATGTAAGAGTCCGATTTTGCATCCTGTTTTGGTTTAAAGAGGATTGCTTGATTGAGAAGAACCAGCCAATATTTGGCCACAGCACACGCCTATCAAGCGGACACCGCACGTGCCCACAACTGGTGCCGCTTCGAGGCTACTCCGGGAGGCCACGGGGAGGCAGCGATTTTAAATGGCTGCTGGGCTTCTCCTTGACGCACCAGCCACTGGGGCTTAGATGATACTTCTCTAAATGACGTGATGACAGTTCTCCAGAACTGTCTAAATTTGATGGTCTCATTCTGCTGGTAATTGAGCAATACAGACCGGAGTGCATCCCTCAAGTGGGTGGGAGCAGGCACGGGGCCGCGCCACCCACCCTTGGGCTGCTCATGGGCTGACCCTTTCGCCGCACCGAAACTTTATTTCGGAACCACATAGCCTTTATCTCCAAGAGGCACAACATTTCAAGGACATCGCAAAGGGTCCTAATTTTTTATTTTCGAGAAGCACCAAATTCCACTACTTTACGTATATGGGCCTTGCCCGTTTGACAAAATTCTGGATCAACCCATGTGGCAAAGGATAAGCCGATTTTTCAAGTTAGAAATTTCGAACTTTGCAGCTTTCTGCATCATTTGATTTAATTTATAGCCCCCACGAATCAAATGAAATGCATGTGAGGCGAGTAAAGCATTTAGATAACCCATTCTCTATTCGTAATTCTAGGTTATTTACGACACATTGCCCTGGCCGTGAGGTGTGGGAGAATCCTATGATTTCATATTTCCAAAGTATGACTGATATCCCATCGTTGAGAGCGTCTTCCGCAAACATTTTGGAGACGCATATCAACGTAACCGATATTTGAGGATGTTGCAATTTCTCGTCCTGTGGGTATGTAACTCAGTCCATGCTTAACTTGTTTCATGCTCCATAATCACATTCTGGTACAGTCATATTCATACACTTAGAGCAAAATTCATGGTGCTGGCTCCGTGAGTGCTCCCAGCAGCAAGCTCCGCTTAGCTGAGTGGACTCCCTGGAGATCCGCTTCAAAACACAGCATGAAAATGACCAGGTTATTGCCCCTCTGACTTTTGTGGCTGACAACCTTTACTAACACTGAATGAGTGGTAGTAATTTATTGGATGGTTCTAACGGGCTGACATTAGCTGACTTTGGCTATGATTACTTGAAGCCTTTTCGTGCATGATTTGTCTTCGTCTATTGCAAACACGATTCCTGCCTGAGTATGAGTATTCCTACCTGAGTATCCTCTAACCATTATTTCTGACACCATGACCTTTTTCGAGGGACGCCTAATTCCAGAGTGCATCACGAAGGGCCGCAAATCCTCATTCTCAACGGGCACAACCATGTAATGCCTCCCATCCGGGACGAAATCCTGGAACATTTCCTTAGGCAAGTCGCACTGAAACCTTTGAGACACCATGGCCTCTATTTTAAAGCGGATCTCTGTGCGTGTCACCATGAGGAAAATTGGCCA